TAATGTGACAAATGGATGCGCTTAGTATTGCTAATAAGTTCTTTAATGTCAATATTAATTTGCGTTGAAGCGAGACGAAGTTGATGTTCTAACAATTATTCACGATACATTCACTACGTCGTTAAACATCGAAATTTCCAAAAATTCACAATGGCCCCGCAATCTCGCACGATGGGCTATCTACGGTCCTGACAGACGTCGGTCGGTTCTGCCGGCTGACGCGTTGGAGGAAGAAGCGTCCGAAGTAGGGGTCGGCTCGCGAGCCACATTTCGTCAGTCCTGCCAGTGTTGCGATATAGGACCGGTTGTATGCGCATGTGCGGCTCTGCGCATGTGCGGTGATGGAGATCCAGTGCCGTTATATGTGTGTGTTGACCGTATGGCGGGACGTTTTGACATGAGAAGGTTAGGTGACTACAAATAAGGTAAGATTTATTTATTTACAAGCATGGAATCTACGGAGCCAGCAGTTAAAAACCAAGAAGTAGAAAATTTCAATCAATTTCAAAAAATTTTGAAATATTTTTAATGTAGCGAGGTAACGGTACCTTGTTTAACTTGTATGAGACACTGTACTGACGCCTATTGCCGCACATGCGCATACAACCGGTCCCATATCGCAACACTGCCGCTATCATGCATACGCGGATAGCGTGAGCAGGACAACATCGGGTGATAAAGTAATTCGTTTTTCTGCTGAAATTATTCGACATTTTGGCGTGTTTTGATCCACTCAGTTTAGTGAGTTCTAAAGAAGACTAATGGAGATATGTTCGTGCATTAATATCCGTCAGATATAAAGGACGCCGAAGACCACTCAGTTCTCTTTTACGCATAGGGCTCATTGCAACGAAAAATGTCACAGGACGATGACGTCGGATTTTTATACAAAACAATGAGTAAGTTGTGATATAATATATAAACAATTTATGTTTGCGTGAGAGAAACATGAAGATCACGCCATTGGCTCGTTTACTAAAATTTGCTTCAATTTGAGTCCGCGAATTTTCATGAGTACAAAAAATGTTTATCTGTAGAATGCATATAAACACTAAATTAAAAACGTGTTTTTTTTACTTTGTAATAATATTATTTAGAATCCTATATAATACTATACTAATCTGCTACTAATTTGCTACTGACAAATATAATCTGTGATAATACAAAAGTAGTTTCATAACATTTAGACATTTTTATTGAATATTGGATATTTAAGAACATTTGTACAATTATTTTTATACATATAAGATATTACTTTTAATAATAATCTAACCGAATTTTATATTTATATAACTATATAATTTTTGCCTTTATAATATGTTTATTATATCCAAAAATAGTCATTATTTCTTCTAATATGGATTTTTTAATTTTTTTTTTTTTTTACACTATTATTGTGCTATTATTGTCAATGCTATTATTATAACCATCATATTATTATGAAATAATTTTAATTATTGTAAACATTTTATCAATGTATATATTAAATGTATTACAAATTATTCATCCTACAAGTATATTGTATTTCTATACTATTGTACTCATTGTATATATAAATTAAATTTATTAGTGGCTATTATTACTATTATTATTCCAATCAGCTCATTATGAAATTTATATTAACAATTGCATTATGATAATAACATTTATCCTTTATCCTTTGTGAATAATAATCATAACTAGATTCTTTATTACTATTGCAACCTCGTTTATTGACACATAGAACTAACCTAAAATATTCCCGGTAATACAACCGTGCGCGTATATGTGTGTATTTGTGTTTTGCAAATGAGTGTATGTACTATGGGAAGCTTTCAAAAATTGTGGTGGTTTTGATATGTTAGAGTTGGTGAAAACTGCACGAGGATATGGACAGTTTCTGCTGTAGAAAAATACGCAGATTTCGATAAAAGTTTCCAAAGATATTAGGAGCATCATGAGTGGCACATGTATGTTCAGAATCAAGTCCAAACATAACCTACGATTGCTTATGCATTATTTTCTTTAGAAATTTTAGTCTAAATCTATTTTATCTTTTTGTATGTCAGCAATTATCATTGTTGTACATTACTGTTTCTTTGGAAGTATATAACAATAATACAAGTATTTTTTTTTACCAAATGTATCTGTATATCGTATTTTGGAAAAATCAATGAAATTGTTCATTACAGTTGAAAGAGATCCTAAAAAAAGAAGGGTGAAGCCTGTTGAATCAGCACAGCAATCTTTACTTGACTTTGATTTGGGTGAGAGCTCGGATGATAGTGATTTTAGGATTGAGGATCATTGTGAAGAGTCTGATGATGATTCAGTAGATTCTAATGACGTCGGGAAAGGTAAATTGTTGTACCATTCATGCAGTACTTATAAAGTTGCTTTCTAAGCTAATGAATGAAAAAGAGTAACATAAATAGAATGTTAAAGAGTTATATAAAAGTGCAAAATATTTTAAAATGTAAAAAGTTTTAAAATGATAAAGGAAATACAGAAATGTATTTACATATGATATCATCATGTAAATTGTACAATATATTATATTTTTTATACAAGAAGAGGAAGATGTATCTGAAGAATCCGACGACTCGTTGGAAGATCCATTGTTAGGAGGAAAGAATAATGCCGGCTTAACTGTGGGAGATATAATTGAACAGGCTCGACAGCAAGCTCTGAAGGGTGCTCCTCTAGATGAAAAACTGAATAAAATGCTAATATGCTGCGGTTGCTTAGGAGACAGAAGTGATGATATAAACGAGATTGTTGAATGCGATGGTTGTGGTGTCAGTGTTCATGAAGGTGTGTATTAATTTAAAATATCAATATTTATTTAATCTTTATTTATACATTTGTGAGCAAATACAAAATATACTTCAGGTTGTTATGGTGTGTCTGATGTGGAAAGTTTTTCGAGTACTGATTCTTTATGCCAATCAGCACCGTGGTTCTGTGAAGCTTGCAGTGCAGGTATTGAAGATCCATCGTGCGAACTCTGCCCTAACAAGGGTGGCATTTTCAAAGAAACGGATGTTGGAAAATGGGTTCATCTAGTGTGCGCTCTTTATGTACCCGGCGTTGCTTTCGGTGAAGTAAGTAAATATTATATCGTGTAATTGTATCTCATGTCATTTAAAATTTATTTGATAAATTTCACATTTTGCAAATTATTTCTTTTTAGGTCGATCGTTTGTCGAGTGTAACATTATTCGAAATGGCATACAGCAAGTGGGGTGCAAAGACTTGTTCCTTGTGTGAGGATTCACGTTTCGCACGCACAGGTGTATGCATCGAATGTGACGCTGGAATGTGTCACACATATTTTCATGTGACTTGGTAATACTTTTACTGAAAGCATGAATTTTTTGCGAGAATGTGTGCTATTAATATAAAATACAAAATTTTATTTTGGCAGTGCACAAAGAGAAGGTCTATTGTCCGAAGCGCATAGTGAAGAAGTTGATCAAGCGGATCCGTTTTATGCGCATTGCAAATTACATTCTGATAAATCGCTTGTTCGTCGTCGTAGACGTAATTGGTTAGCTTTACAATTGCGTGCACAGTATCGGCAACAGATGTTAAAGCAGCCCAATCACTTGGATACGGATGAGCAACGTAGAATTCAAAGAAAACTGGCGAAACACAGACACAAATATCTAGCTCACAAAGCATCGCGACCACCGCCGTGGGGTAAATTAATCTCTCTTTTTAAATATATTATTTTATATCAAGTGTAACAATATATAAAAAATATAACACCGCTTTTATTGCAGTGCCCACACAAAAGATGCCACGTTTATTAACTACATCCGCTTCTGCTTGCCGTCAATTGGCAAGAAAAGCCGAACTGATGGGCGTGGATACAGCTGCATTGGAAGCACAGGAATCTCAGCTGGTGGCATTAGTGGACGTTAGAAAAAAGTGGCACATTGCTCCCGCCTTCAGCGTGGAATTTATCGGCTATTATTTGGACCGCAACTTACGCGTGACATCGATGAAGAGACGGTTGCAAGAACTCCTCGACATTAACTCGCAATTACTGAACGAACAGCAGAGGCTGGACAGAAAATACGACGAAGTGATGAAGGATAACGAAGAACAGATCAGAGTGAATGTGACGTTGAAGGAAAAGATTGAGCTGTATCATCAAGTACTTAAGGGTTCTGGGTACGTGAAGCTTTTGCCATCGATCGCCGATTTAGCGAAGCCAAGAATAACACCTACGCTTGGTAAGTTGCACTGCATCGTTAATTTTAAGTGCAATGAATGTACAATGATACATATATAATGTGCTTTCTGTAGGTACAGGATTAGGCGTGCCTACGGCAGCCGCTTTGAAGATGGGCGTCGGATTTCCACTTCCGGTGGGTAAAGGCATCGAGGGCATACGCGAGGGTAGAGTGTTGAGCAGTCAGGCGCAAGAACAGAATCACAAAAGCGAGCTCACGACTTTACGACATCAGTGCGGCATCTGCAGACGATCGACCAATCAACATCTTCTCGCTAAATGCGACACGTGTCATTTACACTATCATTTATCTTGCTTAAGCCCACCTCTGGCACGTATGCCTAAAAAAACAAGACAGATGGGCTGGTACGTGCAAAAATGTAAACAGTAAACTCCATTATTGCTAACTTTCTTAATGCTCTAATTTACAGGCAATGCTCAGAGTGTGATAAGGAATCCTCGGGCTCGGAGGTGGAACGTGTGGACACGTCGGCGCCTCGCAAATTGAGACATTGTAAAGATGATGCTAATTTAACGCCTACATCATTGCAGGAACTGCAAGCAGCGGTGACGCCGAGCACGCCTACTACGTCAAAAAATTCTATCAGCAGTATAACAAATGTTACTGTTTCTGACTCGCACACAACACCAAAGGTACTTGTCTTGCTATTATATAAAAATAACAGTATAAAAGATTTAACATAATTAATGTATGATTGAATATTTTACGCTTTTGCATTCACAGCTAACTATTAAACCAATGGGTCCACTACCATCGACCGTAGAACCTACTCAGGCAGCTGAATCAATATACAATCAACAATCTGTGAATAATATCATCATAAGAGAAGGCTCGCCGGAATACATGGTAGCTTCAGCGGATGGAACAGAATCCGTTTCTCAAAAAAGTGGGAAGAAAAGAAGAAGGTGCGCAAAAAGTTCGAATAACTCACTGATTTTCAAAAACACGATGTATGTATATGAAGTTGTAATATTTTACTAGGGAAAAGCACAAGAGATATTCTCCAGATCCGATAACTGGAGTCAAACAGAGAAAGAGGAAGCACAAAAGGAAAAGTTTGGACATTGAAAATCCAGAAGTTCAAAGTCAACCGGAAGTTCATAGAAGAATCACGATAAAAGTAATCCGTTTCTTTTCTGCTCTCTTGCATCGCTACATGCTGATTCAAACACTGACCACATCGAATTATCGCAGATAAAACCAATTCCGCGACCGGAAGGCGACGAAGCCTCGGAATCGAGTCCGCAAATGTTTGTAGCTACTTCTACGAGTACAGAAATCACATTGCCGCCGCCGCCGCCGCTACCTGTGCCGCCTCCGGCTGCTAACGTGCCCCCGGCACTAAATGTGTCCGTAAATAGCAGTGGTCGACTATCAACGGGAACAAAGAGAGGAAAAGATACGGATCTTATGACGCAATGCAACGTCTGTGATACTCCCGGTACCAACCAAAATCTCGTTATGTGAGTATTAAAACGAGTATTAAACACTTTGAAGCTGTAACAAATAATTTTAATCTTACAAACATTTCGGAGGTTGAGACTTGCAAGCTACGAAATATTATGTTAATCTTGAAGCCTTGCGCATTTAACCACTTTTGTTCTAGGTGTGACGACTGTAAGAAGTGCTATCACTTCACGTGCTTAGATCCCCCTGTGAAAAAGTCTCCGAAAAGGAGAGGTTATTCGTGGCACTGTGCCGACTGCGATCCTAGTGTAAGTTCATAAATTTTTATTGTTTATACAAACGCCAATATTTTCAAATAATAGATTAATGTACTTTCTACTTTGTCTATATATACATATAGATACGTAGTGGGCCTTAATAGTTACACAATGCAGAGTTATCTTTTTAGATAATTATTCCTTTATCTTTTTACGCACTATTGACAAGTCTGACAATAAATCAAGTTTAATTATATATACATTATTGAGAGTTTATAGAGACAATAAGCACTAAAGATGACAAAATATAAAGTACTTTAATCTGAGATGTATACGAGCAATTGACTGATCTGGTTTTATGAAATGAATCGAACAGAAACACATCGAAACAATAGACACATCGTCTCATGAGAATATAAAAGTTAATATTACAGGGAATTGGGAATAGAAAGTTTTTATCTGATGCAAACTAAATTATATTCATCTTTATTTTTGATTTTACTTTGCAGCAGAATAATGCCTTGAAGTATTTTGAACTCCATTTCGTCTTCCGCTTAATATTGTCAATGGGGATATATACTGGCACATTAAATATAATAAAAGAAAGAGATCTTTATAGTAAAAATATTTCTTTCATTTCAGGCCTCTGAAACTGAGACTTAATATCAACAATTTTCTATCTGCAGCTACAATTCCACGTTTACATAAATAAGGCATTCAGTGTCATTATGTTTTTTTGTAAGATATACAAAATCATAGAAAAGAGAACCTTTTTTGTAATTTAAAGAAAAAGATAAGTTTATGAAAATTATTTTTAGAAATTCGTTAGATATGATTTTATTTGAGTCTTAGCATAGTTCGCGCTATTATCTTATTTTCTATGATTTCTTTTACTTTCCTCTAACGCTTTGTAGTTTTATATAGCAATTTTGTGCGGAAAAAAAATCAAATAAATTGTATAGTATGAAATAAAAGGAATATACAAAAGAATATTTTTGCATGGGACAAAAAGAAATTGTAATACTATTTTAAATGCAAAATTTAAGATGGAAACAAATTTATTAATTCTCTCACATGTTTAAGAAAACATAAACATATATAACAGAAATGTTTATTCTCATACAATAAAGTCATTGCGTTAATATTACATTTTGTACATTCTAAATTAAGTTTTACTACCGTAATAAATAAAAAGTTTCGATGTCATCTATCTATAGATAAAATTGTCGTAGGTTTACAAAAGAATTTTACGTGAAAAAACTGTCTTTACAAAGATAGAAGCGGCACTGTGGATTACATTTTACCGAAAAATATCTTTTTTTTTATTTTGCCTTGCATAAATCCATTTCTAAAGTCCACTGCACTCATAGGCGAACGACCCGTCATTGTCACTTTTTTTATTGAAACCCAGCTCGGTCCTTTACATGTCACAATTAACGTATCGCTTTTTCTATCAAATCTTACGAAACCTGGAAGAGTTTTTCACATTAATTATGCACATTTTATTCGGAAAATATTATTACAACACAATAATCACATTGTCAAATAAATAATTTTTTTCCTAGGAATAAACTGAGGGTTTAACAGCGTTTCAATTCTTGGAATTAGTTTAGTACCACACTGAGTCATACAGAAGTAATTGATAACGATTGATTGATTACCTGGTACATCATCCTCCGGATTTGTTTCGCTACTCGGTTTCGATGCCTGCTGAATGTCGAACAATTTCATTGTCGTGTTATGGAACTTGGTTGTTAATGGATACAATCCTAGAAGACCGCGATGCAAATCATACACATTCTTCGCCGTCATCTCATCCCACTTCACCAAAGAGATCTTTGATGTAACTTTGGGTGCTACAACGCGTCGCCGTCGAGAAATGTCAGTGAAAAATTCCAATACTTTGAACACCGATTGTATTTTATTATTTAGTACAACAGTAAAGACAAGTTACCATACGTTATGCCTATTTTTTCTTGAGGTTTTGAAGACGACAATGCTTGTGGCAATTTTCCTATTACGTCGGTCAAAACATTTGCACCTACTTTCGCTAATTTGGCATACAATTCTGGTAAGATTTCGTCTACATGAATATCTAATTTCTCCTGCGCCACTATTTCCCCGATGTCAAACCTGCAATGTCACAGAAATAATGAAAGATCCATCTATTCTCAACTCGAGTGATGAACTTGTAATATTCACACTTTTACTAATAAAACAAGCCATTTACATGGCTTTTGTTGATAAAAAAGTCTGAGGAAGAATATGAGTTAATATTTTCACTAAAAAATTAGCACTGCAAAGAAACTGAACTCGTATAAATCTATATAACATTCCCTAATACGTCACCTGAAAATTATATTCAAGAAAACAAACTTTTAAGAAAAAGCTTTACTTTTCTGGCATTATTTTCATGATCGTAATCCCTGTCTGTGTATCTCCGTTAATTAAGGAGTAAATTATTGGAGCCGCTCCTCTCCATCGTGGCAATAGACTAGCGTGAACATTCAACATACCACTGTGATAAAAAATACACGCATCAGCATATTACAATACACTCTCTATTTGAATTAAATATTACACACATGTTAAAGATTGATGAAGCAACTTACAGCGGAAAGGAATTTATAATATTTAGTGGTATCAAATGTCCAAAGGAGACAACTATTCCAATATGAAAACCCTGTAGATTGCTTTCTAGTGGCCATCTGATAACCTTAATTTCCTTTTTTTCTGCATATTCTATTACAGCATTCTTTTTCCCTTTGTATGCTGATACCACTTCTAATCGGCATAGCTTCTTGGCTCTGCTACAAAAAACATATAAACATGAATTGCTTGAAAACTGAACTTCTTTTGTAATAGAACGTAAATTGCTCGTTAAAAGAAATTATCAATAAAATTAATACTAACTATTCATTATACAAACTTTGCAAGCTTTCGAGAGCAAAATTGTCCGTTCCGAAAAATAATACACTCCACGGGCCACCGGTTGGAGATGAATGCACTTGTCTGTTCCGAACATATGTACAATATAAAGAGGTTATGTCACGCAATTTCCCATTTCTCTTAAATGTTGTGAGAAAATACGAAAATTTTTTTATTAAACGCGATGGTAAACTAATATTTAACATATCGCTGTAATCTTACATGAAGATTCATAAATAACAACATGTACACTATTGAAATGTAAGAGCATTTGCACGCATCCATTGACTTCATTTGAAGCGCACTTCATGGATGTGCCATTTAAATATTCGTGATACACATTACACGTATCGTAATACAAATATTATATTAATCTTTTTCTTCTTTATAAAATTTTTTTTTCCAAATTTCAACATTTTCAAGGAAATTACCAAAATTGAATAAGAAAGGAAATTCCAAGTAGTTAAACAAATGGTGAGCGAACAAATAATACTGATTGATCTTTCTTTTTGTAATATTCTTTATTACGTACATTTGTTTTATTTCGCATCGGTATGCAACGAATTAGTCATTGTTAATAATTATGTGAATCAGCATTCTTTCATACAAATATTTTTTTGTGATGTTTTTAATATAATTTAATACAATTATTATACGCGACTTGACGTAAACTTGACGTAAATGCGTTTTAATTATTTAAATGATATTCTCCAATTCATCTTTGAACATATCGAATCAAATCACCTGGATAATCAGAAAAGAAAATGTACGGTAAATATAGAATGGCATATAAGACACTTTCTTTTCTTAAAATCAGGAAGAATCAATGAATAAACCCGCAAACTATATCACCAACCAAATACTGCATAATTCTTCTTCGTCAACTCTTTGCACTCATTTGATTGAGTTTCACAACAGATTCTTAATAAAACTACTTATCGTCTTTTAACATTTTTGCTGAATCTTTTTTCAATTACAAAGTAATGAATAATTTAATAATCAAATAAAAATTATGATAATCTGAGAGATTTCGCATCTTAAAATCAATATGCGAGTGTACGGAATAAAACTATTAATTATCGATATACAGAAATTATCGATGTAATTTATAAACGATATTTTAAAATGATTTCCAATATCTAAGAATTTGATTGAATAAAATTAAATCGAAGTCTACAGATGTACTTATTTTACATCCTCCTGCAAAATATTATTTATTCAAGTTTTATTCTATATATCATTCATATTGTAGCACAATATTTCCAAACGAGAGTTCCGTATATCGATAATCATTTGTAATAAATATAATCGAGATTGTTCTTGATTTAAAATAATGTAATGCAAATAATCGCCGGAACAATAATTCGAGTACCAAACATATTTATGCATATGCAATATTATTAATTAAAATGAATTAAATTGCACTTTCTAGTAACAACGCAGTGATGTATTCTTCAAAATGGAATTCTTACGTAATTATTATCTCGCTATTATTTTCTCTAATGACAGTGAAATATAATAGATAAAACATCTAAGTCAGAATACTAATGAACACCCGGCATGCCTGTCACACATTCTCAAAAAATTTCAATTTTGTAAAAAATATTGCTAACAGTCGGCGTTTTGATTAGGTAAACAATATACATAGATTGTCCGATATATTGTAGCAATTGCTGGTATATTTTACGAATAATATTCGAGACAGTCCAACAATTTATGACACTAATTGAGCCTCAGACTCTCTCTCGATGAATAAAACGATGAGAATGTGTTGATGATCCTTTCAGCTATATATTCTCATAGTACATTTTTAGTGTTAAAAACGATTACGCGATTGATATTTATATGTATATTATTTATTTCTGTGTAAAGTAATGCACTAAAAGCACCAGCAATCTATAATGACAATGAATTATTTGAAATCCGTCACTTTGTTAGACATTGGCAGTTTACATTAATGATATGCTATTATTAAGGATGAATATAGATCCATGTGAAACGAGACGAGTGTGCGATGCGCGATCTCTTATTCAACGCTATCAGATTATAATCATTGGAAGTGCGAGCACAATTATTCACCAAGCACATAATTAAATAGAAATATAAAATGTACTTTATTCGTTAATCCGTTTATTGTACATATTCTATATTAACTTGGCACTTGTATAGCTATATACGAAAATAAGTTATATCTGTAATCGATGTCAGGAAGAGGTCTGCATAAGCTCCGCGTGCATAAGCTTATAAGTATATCCCGGGGAAAAGCATTTGCTTATTAAACGGTCACTTTTATTGCTCTACTACTGCCGATAATTGTCTTTTCTGATGCAAGTGACGCAATTTAGGCCATGCATGCTCCAAGAGTCAGCGATTTTAATGCAGTACTTCACATAAAAAATTTCGTTTCACAAGCATGATATGCATCTTGTTAATTTCGTAACACTATTAAAAGCGTCACCAATTGTCATCCTTATGTCGAAAAGATCGAGGATTCTCTTGTCAATATTTGCATACATTTTGCTTAAAAGAACAGCCTTTTTCCGTTGAAATTTAATTCCGAATTCAACGTAAAACGCCACAAATTGTAACAATTTGTTGAAACTTACATATGCGGCGATTAAAAACCACACTTATGTTTTGTTATTTAACACGATTCGGTCTTTCTTTAATACTTGTAAAAGAAAGATAATCTTCAAGATTATAAAAGTATAATATATCCTCGTATAAAATTAATAACCTTTTTCCAGAAATCTGATCATTATACCGTCAGATCTGGAAAGGCCTGCGTAACAAGGCTTATTTGTTTAAGACACTTTTTAAGGGAGCAGAGACACTCAGAAAGCATATTCTATTCACTGAGAGTTTCGCCAGTTTTGCTCTATGAAAATCTTGTTATATTACATAAAATAGATAAATTTCAACTACTTAATTCTTTTTATGCATTCGATCCCTTTTATAAAAAACCTATAAATGGCAACTTCTACTACTTTCACAGCAGCCTATAATACCTACTTTTTTGGCGAATTCAGTAACCTTACTCTTTCCTTCTCCTCCTCGCTGGAAAAGACTCTAGTAATTACTATATCACCAGTGCTCACCGTTTGGCAAGCCACGCTAACAGCCTGACGGCCTGTCAGCGGACCGTCAGTCTTATCGCCCTGGCATGTGCAGATGTACTTGTTGAGCGACGCGTCTGTTTTGTTGGTGGAAAGCTGATCGGTCGCAGAGCTAGTAACAGCTGACAGCATGGCTTCCAATTTCTCAATTCTCGCCACTGTGTCCAAACGACCGTCCGAGAGGAATTCATTCACCATAAGCATTGATTCGGTCAAGCTTGGAGTATCGGCATTTCGAGGCGACAGCACACCACCTAAAAAGTTCATTTCCAAATTTTCAGACTACGATTATTATACGGTAATGCTGGTTAAGCTATTTGATAAGAGATACATTACATTTAATAAAATAAATATTTATATTTAAACGGATTGAGTTTAGATAACTAATATTAAATAAAATTCTTATTTTGGTACAGTAACTTTACCTGAATGAGAATTTTCCGATGTGCAGCTTTCCAAACTCTGATACTCAGGATCGTCCGTCTTGTCTTCATCATCCTCATCGCTGCTATCACCTTTGTCCTGTCCCATGTTCTCTAGTTTCTCCAGTTTCTTCGCAACTTTATAACTTCCTTTGAGCTTCTCCTTCTCCTCCTCGGTAAGGCTCAAGTGGCGGAGAAGCCGGATCTCACGATTGCTCAGCACGATATTTTTGCTGGTCGCTTCTTCCATCCTCTTTTTCAAGTCCGCCACTTCGGTCTCGACTTTTCGCTGCTTCTTACGCGCTTTCACATCCGCCGGTCTTATATGCATTTGAATCTGTTCTTCGCACAGCTCTGCAAAAAGACCTTGTACTTCCGGCTTTATAAGTCTGTCAATAATATACAGAAATCATTATTAGAAAAATCGTTACTGCTATCAATAGCTCCAGAAAAAGTTTAAATTATCACAAGAGAATGATTACTGAAACTATACCTAGACATGGCATTATAAACTTGAGGTACAAGGCTCAAAACATCGCTGCTCGCATAAATTAGCATGTCGCGAGTCATAGGCCGTCGGGACCAGTAGCGTTGATCCTTGCGATAGATATTTTTCAATTGTTCCTTGAGCGGATTACACGGGGCGCCGTAATGATCGCACAGGGTGTTTAGATTGACGTTTTTAACTTTGTACACGGGCTTTCCCGTTTCTTGATACTGAAGCACCGCATGCGCAGCCTACAGAAGACAATGTGTTTTCATTTCAAAATTTCCAACAATATATTAATTATTTCGAAATAAAGAATATTAAGCACCTGTGTATCGAAAACGTTCATCAATGTAATTTTAAATTGATTGTACAGGTTGACGCTATCGTTCCTACAATCGTGAATCACCTGCAAGAACAAACAATTCAATATTAAAGCAATTACATAAAGTATATATTAGGTTGGCAAATAAGTTCGTTCGGGTTTTGGTTGGTACCGCTTGCAATGCCGATTTCACTCTTTTCCTTTCGGTACTACATTGTAACTCATTTCGGCATTTTAAAGGTTATCTTTTACGTGAATTTTCCATAAAGTTTGGTTGTGCTAACATTAGTATTGTGTGTGCTTGGTACTTGTAAAATGGAAGTGGACAAAGTGCATTATCTTGCGTTACTATTTCCAAAAAGGCAAGCGAGCTGCGGATGCTCATAAAAAATATGCCGTGTGTATGGGGATGATGCCCCAACAGAACGCGCATGCCAAAAGTGGTTTGCCAAATTCCGTTCTGGAAATTTTGATAGGAGATTTGATCGCCCTACCGAGATTAATTCGGATGATATCAAGGCCTTCGTCGATAATAATCCATCCCAATCGGTACGAGGGATTGCTTACAGCACTCAACAGATCCCGCACAAGTGTTGAAAATTATTTGCGCAATAAATGTATATATCGTTATAAAAAAACCGAACGAACTTATTTGCCAATCCAATATCTTTCACACATCGTTTTAATAATACTTTTACCACCTTGATAATTTGAGGATGTTCCAGCAGCTTTTGGAGGCCACCAGTTTGAACGAGACTCGGGCAGGTGAACAAATCGAACACATACGCCTGGCCGCTCATTGTGCCGATTTGTACAAGAGTCAGCTGTCCCTTCACGCCGAGATTTATGCCCTCGCAGTCGAAGGAGACGACGATCTTGCCGTCGGGTGGAGGCTTTCGCGGATTTATTATATCCTCCACGACTTGGAGACTCTCCCGCGGGGTTGCTATCACTCTGGTCTGCTGCAACACCTTCAACTTCCACGCGTCGCCCATCTGGGCGGTCTGCAGACTGCGATCTCGCTCCGTGTTGTCCGCCAGCGTTCTCATAACGATCGTATTGAATCTCTGCTTGAGGGTCTGCTGCTGCAAGCTCACAGGCGGCGAATTGTTATTGCTCTCGACCAGAGGTGGCGTGCAATTTTGCAAGGAATTGAGTTGAGACGCGACATTGTTGCAGACGCTCTCCGATTGACTTCGAAGCGGCTGAAGAATTTTGCTCGGCGGAACGATCGGCGCCGCATTATTCGTGTGAGCCATGTTGTTGCTTTGACCGCGTTGATCGCCGTTCGTGGTCTTCGCCTTCGCGACCGCGGGCTCCGTTACGAACGACTTCGGCCGGTCTATCAGCGTCACCAAATTGGTTTGCACGTGAAAAGCGTCCGGGAACATCTTTATGAAAGTGGACAGATCTTGCGGCGTCTTGAATATACTCGTCCAATTCTCGTGGGAAAATTTCTCGTTCACCGTATTGAACAGCTGATCTATGAGAATTGGACCTTTCTGCTCGATGCATGCGAAGAAAAAGTCTAAGAGTTTCGCCGTGACGTCCGGATCTATCGGTATATCTGGCTCCAGCTCGCGAAAAGGTTCCGCCTTCATGCCCTCGTATTGCTTCAATATTACGCTATCTTCGCTAATTACAAACGCGTCGGGGTATCTCAAGAGAAAATCGCGGAATTCCTTGTAGTGCTGACCGGATATGTGTCTGACCTCCGGCGAGGCTTGCGATCGGTGGCCCAGGAGACTCTTGATAGGCACCTCAGTGCCTGTTCCGTATTGCAACAGCTTATTCGTAAAGTACTCCACAGCCTCGTGGGCGTAGTCGCGTTTGCCTGATTTATTTCCGCTCTCCTCTTCCACCACCGGTTGAAACGTATTGACGGACACATAATCGCCGTCGATCAGGAAGAGTGCCGGATACTGCGCTAGAAATTTCTTAAGGCCACTTTGCGATCCTCCTGCTATTTGACGCATTTCTTTCGTGAATCCCTTAGCTCCAAATTGGCAGCTCAGGTCGTGCAATGTGCGTGGACCGCCCTTGTCCATCAGTCGTTCGAAGAAAAAGAGAAGGGTCATGTTTCTGACCATTTCATATTCTGAGCTGTCCATCTTTATGTAGCTGCACCGTCAAGAGCTTTATATTTATCACAATTTCTTGAAAATATGTCAAGATCTTCTCTGCAAAGAACAAAACAGTCAATTTTACATTATAAGTGTTACATTATTTTTTAAAATACATTGCAAAAAGGAATTTCTTGTCATACTTTATACTTACTGTCATAGTAAAGTCGAAACATCAAAGATAAAGGCACATTACTAAGTTATCACCATTTTTTACTTATGCCTTTCCAAAAAATATATCAAGGATTTGATGATAATTGATGAATGTGATATTTATTGAGATTGAGCGATTCCCAATTATCCTAAATAATCTCATAGCCAGCATAATGGAGGAAAAGGCAGATCTAAAAAGCATTTTAGTCATTTAAATGCAAGCAGCAATGCAAGAAGCAATTGTACTTCTCCCATTTTATGTTGAAAAATGCCAGCGAGCGTCATAGCAAGACATACAAGTGATGTGCTCAAAAGAAATAATGAAATGAAACAGAAAATTAAAATATGAGATATCCATACCTTCTCAAGAATGAATAGTTGGAAGTCAAATTAATTTTAGCGATCTTGGTTGTACAAGAAATGAAGATATACTAAACTGTACAATTGATACTAAACATCAACTGAACGTTGAAAACAAAAGTGAGACAAAAAAATGCAATAACGTTTATTGGCATTTTTAACAGAAGAAATATGATTGCACTGCTTGGCAACCACCTTTCTCAAGCAGTTAAATATCATTAAAGACAATCTACATTGCAGAATGTTCAAAAAATCACATGAAACAAACATACCTTAAATTCCAAAGTGGATAAAATTATATTACAATAATTATAATCCACCTCCAATCATTGTTAAACGTCTTTGTGCGTCCTTCAGAAACGATGCATTATAAGATCCTCCTTCTCCTCCCCCTCCTGCGGACAATAACAAATGTAACAGGATTAGTTTAGCTTAAAGAATTAAAAAGGTTTCCGACAGCTAACTCAGTAAATGTAAATATCTTATACAGGTTCGTCGAAAATAATCTTCATCGCTTAATTCATGAAAGTTTTAATATAAAATGCAAACAAGTGTCACATTATATGTCACACTCGAGACATATGCCTTTACATGGCCCGAACGTCACGCGGCAGCGTTCTGTGCGCCACGATGTAGACCGGATTGAGAAACAGGTGGCCTCAAGGAATTAATCACGCAAATTTGCATTCCATTAGAAGAAAATGACGGTTACAAAAAAGCGCGTTTTTCTCGGCGATGCGATCTTTATGGGTCAAGCGGTTCTCGAGCGGCCGCGGAAGAGACGGGAAGAGCGAGCGCTTCCCGAGGATTGTTGGCTGATTTTACGCGTTCTTGCGACCGTGTTCTCGTTACCGATTCGCCACGCCGAGCCTCTCGGCGGACAAATATCGCGGTGTACCTTGTCAGCGATGCACGGCAGAATCGCAGTTAACCCCAATGTGGTGCAATACGTAACATATCTCGGAGCATATCCAGCATACCCAATGAATTTCCGCTTGGAGGTAATCCCGCTAGAGGGACTGTCGTGCACGATCGGTCGGCGACGTCGGCGGGGCCTTGCCCGGCCGCACGTTACACATCTCATTAACTGTATTTCTAATTAATGCGCCCGCATTTTCTAAAAATGAGAAGCTGCGAAAAGCGTGTCTATAAATACACACATTTATGTGTAATAATGTGCTCTGGAAACATTGTACTTTTATTTTATATTTCTATTTCTATTAAATTTTCTATCGTTTATCTCTTTATACATATTTATGATGTCTGTGATATATTTTTTCAAGTGTTTAAGCTTATCTTGCAAACAACACTGTTATCGTCCCGAATAAATCAATTATTATCGCGTTATGGATGATTTATGACTCCTGAAAAAATTACATTTTAAATAGATTCTAAAATATCAATTAAATATAAATTAAAGAGCAGAAAGGCGTGAAACATGATAAATACGTCGATTTCTCGCTACACCGACAACTGATACGCACAATAAATGCGATTTTATTCGAACTGCCAAAATTGACGGACAACAAATGTCATCTAGCGGCAACGAGTGATGTCACCAAGTCATTGAAGCGCGATTGACGAACAGTAGGTGACAGTAGAAAGTGATAGAAAGTGAAATATGTATTCGGCTACTGTGAATGATTACATCATTAGATGGCTATTGTTCATCAGGTGTCACTCGGCAGCTTCAATAAAAAGTCAGTTATCAAATTATCAAACTAATAAGGTGTATTTATTGTGATACGGCTCGCAGGTTTATCCTCTTTATGTCTCTGGTATTTTAAGATTTGCTTTATCCTGTCATCAATCTGTTATATTTGCAGGCTTTGCAAAATAGGAACAGACGATACTAACCAATATGTTGTATAGTGTTTGTTGCTAAATCTCTGTTGCAAAAAAAGCTATTAAAAGGTGAATTAAACAAAGGTATTTCCGATATTTTCGTAATACAATTAAAATTCTTTGAATGAATATAAAGTTTATTAACCGATTTGATGAAAATTCGGCTGCGTATTAACATATTCTAAATTTATTTCTTGTTAAATTTAGGACAGAGGCAAAACAAAATTGTAAATATCCAATGATCTCTATTTATCGCCTTATCCTGTAAACCAAATATGCGTGAAAAAAAAGAAGGAAAATACTTGCCAAGTCACCAGGTCGTATTGCCAAACAATAATATCCAATACAGCAGCATGTTACATGATACAGTATTATTTGAAAGGTTAACGAAGTCAGAACTGTTTCCAAGATGTCTAAGAGTTATAATAATGTATATGATATTTAAATAAAATAGACCAAGTTTAGTGAACATAATATGGACAATCTCAATATGAATGAATAATAATAATATTATCAAACGTTAACGTCAAAGTGAGTTATAAATTTAATTGATAAATAAGTTTTAATACACATAATAAGTTGAAGCAGAAATAATGTTAAATATAAAATCGCACGATAATGTCAAAAAAGAAGAAGTGGAAGCGCAAGTAATTACGGCGATGCAAGAGCAAGGTAACGTTGCAAATATAATTGTTCATTGTATATGTATTTCGTTAAACTCTACAAAACGTACATTATTTATATAATAAATAATATAGAAAAAACTCTTGAAGGATACACCTTAAACGCTGTGAATAGCTACGGTGAAAATTTATTGCACATAAGCGCAGCGAATGATTGCTTCAGGATTGTGAAGGAAATTTTGAGCCAGAAAAAGAATCGCCTTGTCATAGACAGGAAAAACAAATTTGGCTGGAGCCCACTAATGCAAGCGATTCGTAACGGAAATATCGACACTGTGAAAATGCTTTTAGAGAAGAACGCCAACATTGACGATGCAACTTATCTTGGTAAAAAAAGTGCAAACTCGTTATAAAAACTTTATTTTTAGAACATATTTACATAAGAATTTCTAAATTGGAATTTTATAGTAGATTATTTCGAAAAAAAAAATTACAAGAACCGTTTTATTTATAAATTGCAAGAACATTGCTACCACTAAATAATAGTTTTGAGAAGAAACCGACAAGATAATATCGCGCTACTTTGAAGCGAATAAATATAACTCGTTTTTAATTTGTTGTAGGTATGTCGGTGCTTGGCCTGGCTGCTGCGATCAGCAAGGAGATGTTCGAAACGGTGTACAACGCCTACCCGGACGCGTTGGCAAACGCAGCTAATGATGACATAACTCCGTTGTGTGTGGCTGCCACGAAGAACGACAAAGAGTTGTTTTTTAGATTGTTGGAATTGGGCATGCCGCTTTCAACTGCTAGTAAGACAACGTTACTTCGCGTCACAAGATTCAAAGCAATGTCTTTTTTTTTTCTTTTTTCGTTACTATTCATTGATTTAAACGTGAAGAACGCAATGGAGCTACAGTTGGAAGAATAAATTTGTATATTAAACGCAGATAACTATACTCGCATCATGATGAGACGCTCTACAGTACCGGAAATAGTCATTCTGGCGGAAGAATATTTGGCCACGGACGACTATTGGAAGGATACGTCGGATAACATCCAAGTAATAAGCGGGCAAAGCAACGACGATGTGACGGGAGAATCTTCGAAATCGGTTTTAAAAAATGACAGGAAGAGAAAACATATATCCATCCTGAACTTGTTATCTATACCTCCGAAATCTAATAAGCAAGATTTGCTATCGCCGAACTTGACATACGACACTTTTGCATTATCCCCAAATGTTTATTTTACAAATATAAATCTTGCGAAGAGATCGAATATATTTTTCCCGGAAAAAGATGCAAATAACGGAGCAGCGAAAAGTGATTTGGAGAAGTATTCCGTAACGAGCGAGTACCAACTTAAATCACCTCCGGCTTTATCACAAAAGTAAATTAATAATGATGAATTACGCCATTATTTACGGAATGATTAAACCATTTAACCTTTTTTTTTTATATCAATTCAATATTTTTGAAGCATTTTTTAAATATTACAAATATGTAATTCAATTCTTTAAAAATAGTCGAAAGTATGTGATAAAACAAATTGGATTTTCGCAGGTCGCTACGACCTTTGGATCTGGGCTTGAAGAAATTCTCAAACGAATCTAACACCACTGTCGAGTTCACGCCCGAATTCAGCCCTCTCAAGTCGCCCCACGTGCCACCGGACATTAACGAGGAGAACGTGTATGGTGAGAATACCCCGACGCCACCGCGCTGCACCACGCCACCGAAAGGGATGCTTTTGAATTGGCAACAGACCAAAATGATTATGATACTGAGACGCTTCGGCTTCAGCCAATATATCTCTGTGTTTCTCGAACAAGAAGTGAGTATCGTTTGTGCGGAATACGTGCTAAAATAAACAAATAATATACAAAATTGTCGTCAGATTGTAACGCAAATCGACTGTTGCTCCAATTAACTCGAAATTGACAACTCCAATATCGATTGCGACCAGATTGCACAAAATTCGTTTCTTTTTTTTTATCCTAGGTGGACATCGATCTATTTTTAACACTCACGGATAAAGATTTGATAGAAATTGGTATCGAGAGCGAGAAAGACAGACGTGCTATACTAGAAGGCATAGAGGAATATAAAAATCGTAAAACATACTAATATTTAATACTGTTTATTCACTAATCGAAGCGAGTATACTTTGTTACTACTTAAATGAGAAAGGTTTAAAACGTTGTTACTTTTACTTGTGTTCTAAGATAAATAACTTGTAGCTTAAAATAATTTTAATTTAATTTCTAATGTTAATTCATTATTTTATTATGATTGTGATAGTTAATTTTTTTCTACTAGAAATGAACTTACAAAAAAAAGAAATGAGCTTACAAAAAAATGAATTATGTTTTAAGAGAAATAATAATTGTTATTGAAACAGGAATAATTCACGGGAATACTTTCTCTAGAAGTTCCTTAACAATTTTTCCTTCAGATTTAGCTTGCAAGGCTTTCCTTCTTTGCCCGACAGCTCCTTCAACATAACATTATTTTCTTCAACAACTCTTTCATGATTGTTATGTGAAAAATCATATATGTATACCATATTTACCATAGACGATTTATTCTCGATTTCTTTTTTTTTCTGCTCAAAATAATGCGACTTGTTTTTATCTCTCTGTACAATTGATTCACTGGTCGCGACACTATCTCCGTCGCATAACATTGCCGAACATTTGTCAGCAATTTTTAACGGTTTAAAATTGCTTGTGGAACACCGCGCCGGGCCGATTGTGAAGTCGAAATCGTCGATTTCGCTTTTGCATGTAAGATAATCGTCAATGTTTGATAACGATAATCGCGTTCGTTTCGTGGGGATGTCACATGTATCAGGCATTCGAGACAAATGCGTCGTACGACTCGTTCTCCTCGATTGCGTGCCATATCCCGTATCGCAGGTTGAAAATCCAGCGATTCTCGATGCCGGTGTATAAGCTAGAACAGTTGCTTGATATGTGTTCTGCAAAGCAAGTCATAAATTACAATGCGAATAAAATGATCAAATATATCAGTCGGTGATTTAATTTTGGAGCGAGAACTGATTTAAAAATAATTAATTTTTTATAACTAATATAAGACAATGTTTCTTAATTGTTCACTATTTATTTATATAAGCAGTAATAATAATTAAAATAATTGCAATTAAATTTTATTTTTCACATAATATGCTAATTTAAGCTAAAAAGAGTTGAGTGCTCCAAATTTTATCGAAATCAATAGCTTAATAAAAGTAAAAATAGATGCAATAAGATGATGTGTGTAATTCGTTATCTCACTTCCGGACAGATATCCAGCTGCTGTCCGCATAATTTGACGACTCTTCCTTTTACATCTCCCACAAATTTATAGATTATAGATACAGGATCTGTCGTAAGCGGAAGAATTTTTAAAGGTCCTGAAGCTAAACATGTTTCAGGATACAGAAAAATGTTTGATTTAAAGTAGAAAAATTCGATATCGTAAAATAAGAGTCCTTCCTTGTAATCTGGCAATATATAGCCGTGCTAAAATAAAGAAATAAATTATTGTTTTTATAGTTTACAATATTTTTTGTTCGGTATTAGTTTTTAGAATGTAATACTAATTCTGTCGATTAATTAATTAATTAATTAATTATTCAGACCATATTTTTCCAATATGCACGTACGTCCTCATAATCCTTGAACAAATACTTTTCCTTAATTATTTTCGATATACGCAACACATTTGCCATTTTCATACTAGAAATAGTTATTCACAGAATTATTAAATGCAGTAACTGCAAATTTAAACGATTAATTGAAAACGCAATTCGCAAAACTTTTGGATTTTTCAACAGTGATTCAGTTCAATATTATAATTTTCTTATATTTTACCTTGGTAAAACACGTACTGGTGGCTGTAAATCATGTTGTAAAGGACGTGCTGTATTCAGTCTTAAGAATGGTATTTTAAGATTTACAGCTTCTACGTGAATCCGAGCACTGTTATCTACAATATATTTCTGTACTATAGTTATCTCTGAAGTGCAAGTCATTCCATATATCTTAGAAGCTTTTGCATATGAGTTTGTAGTCAATTATACCACGAATTTCTTTAATATTTAACGTTATGGCGTTGATACTTCCTGCCGAGCTAAGAAAATCTGGTCCTTCAGCGAGGTACAATCCGACCTTATTCCACTGTGGCGCCAATTTATATTCCATGGTATAAAGAAGACACGCTTTATAAATGTAAGTCGGAATGGGATCCAGCAAATCCATCTGTATAATTTTCCGTGTCGGGATGAACAAACAGTATTAATTATTTCTCGCGCAAAATTTATCTTTGCAGAATTTGAAGTTGCAGATTGTTAAATTGTATCTCTCGGTTACGTACCACCTGTATGTTTAATGAGTCGCAATGGTCTTGGAAAGTGTAGTTTTCAAAAAGGTCTTTCACGACGATAATGTATATAGAACCACCAGACTCGAGTATTTTCCGATTAACTACTGGAGCAGCCATTGCCTGAGGAGTTTCTTGGAGAAATTGTCTAAAAGCAATGTAAAAGGAAACAGAAGAAGCGTTTAGAATAACGAGAATGTCTTACAAACTTAATTTTTAGCAGTTTTGCGTTCTAACTCGCATATGCAAAATGTCGAATGGAATTTGTAATTGTATGCTGCGGTGTTTTTCAATAATCGATACTTACCGACACTTGAGCTTCTTTGCATGAAATTTGGAATACATCAAGGGATCATTTTCGGTATTAACAATCCTGCAAATTGCACAAGACAGATTATTTTTTTGCGGTATAGTAATGTTAAATATTTTTACGATAGAAGCCATGATTTCGAATATGTCTTTGTTACTAAGCAATATAGAAAATGAGATCATTCTATGATAAATATGAAGTTTGTAAAATAAAGAGGGACAATAATTGTTGCCAATAATAGGACAATAATTTACATTACATTTTGAAACAATTCAAATACAATAATAAAAGGAGTGATTGACGCTTATTAATTATATATATTATCTACAAAAATTTTGTTCTTAATTCTTAAAAATGAAATTAATTACATATTATGTTTTCTACAACTAAAAGCATGTTATTTTCTACAACTAAAAGCATGTTATTAAAAATGATAACTTTTAAACATTTTAATGATTCGAAAAATATTTAAATTTTTCGTATATTTTGACAAAAAATAGAAATGAAATTTATTGCTTTCTGTGCAATCTAATTATTAAAAAAACATTTATTTTTAATATTTGTTACAATATGTGTTTAGATATCGAATTTAAAAGATCATTTATGATTGGCTGAAATTTGAGTTGCTTGTATTCACTGCATGCAAACTGTGGCGCATGTGCTCCACATGTGTTTTAATGTCAATAAACTAGACGTAAAATCTAACCTCACATTTTGCATTAATAAATTAGTATTTATTCGAACTATGTTAAAAATATTAAGAAGTATTACTTGTTCGGAAAGGATTCGAACCGCAAAGCATAAGAAGATCAGGATCAGAGAATATAGCCATAAAGTTTGATCATGTTTTACTCTAACCTCAATTTTCTCTTCAATTATCTTTAAATAATTTCGAATTTAATTAATTACATAAATATGTTCAAAACATTACTTATTATCATATTTTAGAGAAAGTTTCATTTATTGTATTATTTTCTTTTATTTATTATTTAAATTTTTGAAAAGATTATAATGATATCTTTACCGTACGTATATATTATTTTTTGTAGGTGATACAGAACAAATATCCAAAGAGGATATTCTCTGGAATTCAGCCTACAGGAAGTGTACATTTGGGGAATTACTTTGGTGCTATTCAGAGATGGGTAGAGTTGCAAAATTCTGGCGAAGAAGTTCTGTGCAGCATAGTGGATTTGCATTCTATCACTTTGCCACAAGTAAGAATATAGGATATTGTAGCTCTGTGATATTATTGACGCTGTTTACTGAAAACATGATTTCTGCAGGATCCAAAGAAATTGAGAGAAAATACTCTATTAATGACGGCGACACTTGTAGCTTGTGGTGTGGACTTTAAAAGAAGCATACTTTTTCAACAATCTAAAGTGCCGATGCATGCAGAATTGTGCTGGATTTTAGGTACTATCACAACCATGGCTAGGCTAGCACATTTACCACAATTCAAAGAAAAGAGTGAATTTTTGAAGAATGTTCCCTTAGGCTTGTATATCTATCCTGTTCTGCAGGCAGCTGATATATTATTGTACAAGTAAGTATTTTGAGATAAAATGTTGAACGACGCTTTTTTATAAGAAGCATTTTATATGAAGATTCCTTTTTCAGAGCAACACATGTTCCAGTCGGCCAAGACCAAGTCCAGCATGTACAATTGGCACAGGATTTAGCACAAATATTTAACAAAAAATTTGGACAAACATTTCCAATACCACATACTCTTATTGGTGGTAAGCCATTTGAAATAGTAATTTCATAATTCAATTTAAATTTTGAAAATGTACCGACAAATGTTTCAGATGGTCCAAGTCAGAGGATCAAATCTTTACGGGAGCCTGTGAAAAAAATGTCAAAATCGCATAGTGATCCCAAGTCGAGAATAAGTCTCTTGGATGAACCAGATGTACTATTGGAAAAAGTGAAAAAGGCTGTGACTGACTTTACTTCAGAAGTGACTTACGAATCAGACAATCGACCGGGAGTGTCTAATTTGATCAATATACACTCTCTGTTTACTGGAAAGACGCCGGAGGAAATATGTAAGGAAGCTGTAGGTTTAAATACAGGACAGTAAGTAGGCTACAATTATTTTATTATATAATATTTATTAAAAAAATAGTTTCCAAAATTTTTGCAAATAAATATGTTATGATTATATTGACTTAAGACTACATTCTCGATTTAAATACAGGTATAAATTGGTAGTAGCTGATGTGGTCATAGAAAAAATAACTCCAATTCGCAAGGATATATTAGAATTAATCAAAGAACCTAGCTATTTGGACGAAATTTTAAAAGAAGGCGCAGAAAGAGCTACAGAATTTGCAACGGATTGTTGGGTGGAAGTTACGGACAAAGTCTTTGGTAGTGATATAATGCAGGATGCGAAAAATATGACAAACACTGCAAATATTATATAGGATAAACTTAGAATCATTTATTGTAAATACTATATCTTTTTCAAAACAGATATTAATATTAATAAAACTATACATATTTAACTTGATGTATAGCAAGCTGCTATCCCATGTCAATGACTAGTTTACCTCTTAAATGGCCTTGCTTTATCCTTTCATACGCTAGTGGTAAATCTTGAAAAGGATACACTTGTTGAACAACAGGTACGATCTGTAATAAAGCATAATATAAAAGATATAAACTAATCACAGAACTGTTAGCAAGAATATTTATCTTAAAAATTTCTAGATGCTAATACAAACTTTTTCGTTTTCCACAAAATTTTGGAGAACGTTAATTCCCACCTGGGAAGGTACAAAGAATCCCCACTTAACGCAACTTTTGTTTTCCGCTCTCGGAATATTAAGCTTCAAAAGATTCTCAACATTTTTTATCATTCCAACAACCAACCCATGCTGGTCAATATTTTTTAACAGAGGTGAATTTAATGCTATATAAGTATTATGCGGATATCCTTTCATTTTGACGTGCTCTGGTCCTTGATTAGCACAATCCAAGATTATGTCGTATCTATTTACAAATGTAATGTTTATAATAATTACGCATAAATAAAATATATTTTAGATACGAGATTACATACGGTCCTTCCGAAGTGATTTTTGCATCAGCGTCATCTTGCTTATAATCAATGACTTCATTGGCACCCAAGTTTAACAGCATATCTACAGCATCACTGCTGCAGGTGGTGATTACCTAAAGAAATTTAATTTTTATGCTTTTGTTATATAAGGTTAGTAAAGTTTAATGTAATATATGTTCAATTACATACATGCATATTCCAAGCTTTCAGTAACTGTATGGCCAAAGTTCCAACTCCTCCCGAGCCTCCTATGATCAGCACGCGCCTATTCATTCTCGTAACAATTGCCGTTTTATACGCTAATCCTCCAGTAATCCATAATGCAGACCATGCAGTCAATCCAGCATATAAAATACTTGCAGCTTCAGTATGAGACAATTTCTGGGGACGTGGATTTACCTTGTGAAAAACAACAGCGAATATTGTTTAATATAATGGCAGAATAAATTTCATTAGGTATTTAATATTTTAAGAATAAAATGTGTCTTACTAAGTTGTTATTAACTACGATATAATTTGCATGACAGCCCTGTTGCTCCACTGGAACTACTCCCCAGACTTTCTCACCTAACTTCAGCCTATCGCCGACACCGTGACCCTTTGATACAATCACTCCTGCAAAATCTCTGCCTAATATCAATGGTAACTCCAATTCTTCGTATGTTCTATAATTTAAATGTTTCATCTTGCGCATCAAATTCAGAACAGTTGTACCATAGCCACCTGTGAACACATGTTTTATAATAATTGCATTATTATATGAGTCTTTTGCAAAAGTGGCATGAGCAAAGAATTTTTAATTAGCATAGATATAACGTTGACTTTGATATTTATACAATTTGTATATATTTATTACACTCTATGCATCTTCAATATCAAATATTACATCCGAGAGAACTAAGCGTATGGAAAATAATATTTTTCTCATCATTTTATGTATGATTACTTCAAATTTTACATGCCACTTTCAAGACAGGAGATGCATATATGCGATCAAGGATAGAATACTCGTCATTGCAACATCGATGGGATTCACACTGGCAGCCTCAACTTTTACTAGGACGTCTGTTGGATTTGTGATCACTGGTATTCTGACGTTAGAGAGTTTTAAATCATTTAATCCGTTATATGAATGTATCTGCCAAGCTTGCATCTTGTCATCCGTATTTTCCTTCGACATGGTTGACAAAAAACGCTGCTTTAATCGCACAGTGCATTTTAATCTGAGAATCGTTTTCTGCATCATTTCTTTAAAAATCTCTTCGCAGATGTCAAATATGTTCACATTAAATGATACTTGAGAGAATCGACTATAAACACACGTTTTAGGTTAAATTTGTGTTTATATTGGTTCATGTTCTACTTTATCGGCCGCGTAAAATGTTGGCCGAACGAAATGCAGAACATTACCACTAGATAACGCCTGTCTCGAGATAAAAAAAATAATTGAATTTATAAGTAGAAAAGGATCATTTCTAGTCAGAAATGCCGCGCTTTTGTTAGGCGTGCGGCTTGAACATTATTTATTTATACGTCTTTTTTTGCGAAATATCGACGCAGACAATATTTTTTACAATAAGTTAAGATAACAATAGTCTCAGGCTTAATCACAATAAGTGATTAATATCGCGAGAAACGCAAAGAAAAAATTCTGTAAGGAACAGATAAACATTAAAAGAAATTGTGAAATCGTACATATTGCGAGTTAAAGTCATATAAGTGTATAACAGATTGCATAGTATTAGGCAATTAAGCGGCAATATAGAAATCGACGCATACGCGGTATGCGCGAGTCTCGGATGCGAGAGCGCGCGAACCTCTTCGGATAAGCACGCGGCTTACTGCGCGCGTGCCTCGCATCGATTGCCGATCGCTATGGCTATGCTCCGGTGTGTCGACGATGACGATGTCGGGGTGACGATGATGACGACAACGACGATGGCGAAAACGTCGATCATCCCCTCCGTGTTTATGGTAAGCAGGATCGGTCGGACGAAACCCTTGCGCGTCCACGACGAGGTAGGGAGAGTGTGTGAAGTGTATAGAAAGGATAAAAAAAAAGGGGGGGACAGGAGGAAGAGTAAATTTCTGTAAAAAGTTTACTCTCTTGTCACGATCTGCTCGATTCGCGAGGAAGGGACGGAGAAAATTGTTCCGAGTTTGAGGGCGAGGAAAAAGCGGAACGAGCGAGAGAGCGAGAGAGCGACGGCAAGGGCGGTGATGCGAAAGGGCGCGGGCGGGGTGTTTAAAGGGGGCTATTGGAAATCCGCGCAAAACATATCTCCGCAAATTAGACGGTTTATTTCCGGTCCGCAGTGAAACGTTGATATGCGACAAAATATTTTCCCACCGCGGATCTGTTTTTACTGTTATCGACAAAAACTTCACGTAGTCGGGCGGGCACCGATAGTCACAGTTTCACCCCTGAGTCAGTACGGGATGGTCTCGGCGGTGCAAGGGAAATGAAAGAGAGAGAGAGAAAGCGGCGAAGATCGCCGCGGGGAAGCGAAGACGAACGGAGAGAAAGAGCGAGCGGACGACGATAGGAAAAGGGGTTAACGCGGGGTAGCGGGAGGAGAGGGGAGGATTGAGAGAGCGACGGGAGCGGCACAGCGGAGGGTGCGTATAGCGGGCCGCACCGGCGTGGCAGGGGGGAGCGCGACGGGGGGGGGAGGGAGAGGGAGCGCATCGCGGGCGCAGCGCGAGAGAGGATATTGACATTTTCGGTCGTAGGACGCGCATCGCGGCGGAGGTAGAAGGGTAGGCGGCGGTTGGGCAGGCGGAGGGGGCGCCGAAGGGCGGGAGGGGCGACGGGGTGCGCGCGCGACGGGGCAGTCGCCTCTCCCTGCCGGATCCTGCAGTATCCATGGCTACGTCGTCCGCGAGGATTTCCCGCGAAAGACCGGAAGCGTGATCGCACGGCGAGGCTTGTGCGGCCCCGTCGCTAGTCACGGCGGAGGAGCAACGAGCAGCGGACGGCGAGGCAGCGCGGAGCAGCAGCGGCAACAGCAGCGAGGGTGCCGTCGAGAACGGCACCCGGGTAGTTCGCCGATCGTTCGTCGCGTCTTGTCCCGGTGGGTCTCGCGAGAGAATCTCTCGTTCTGTCTTCTCTCTCTCTCTCTTTCTTCTCCTCCCTCCCTCCTCTCTCTCTCTCTTTCTCTCTCTCTCTCCGCGTATCTACCTATTTACTTCTCGTACCTAACGTTGACGTGTCAGAAGAGGCGTTGCCGCGACGGTCGCGAGCAGCCTCCACCCTCAAGGAGGAACCGGAAAAGCGCTGGATATATCTAATACCGCTCGCGCTCTCGCTCGGTTTAAGCCCCGTTCCGGAAGGATCTCACGCCTAAGGACACGTCCCAGGTATCGGTTGTGCGAGAGTCGATAACGATCACGGAGGCTAAATACGAGAAGGCGTTGGCTCATCTCGCGCTTCGCCGTCCCCGCGCGTTTCCCTCGCAGTGATACAAACCCACATCGTGACCTTCTGGCGGGCTTGTGCGAAGTTCCGTTCCACTTGGCGACGAGGAACGGCGAACTCGGCCCAGCACGGTGGTGAGGATGTAAATATCGCGCGGCGATTGATCCTTCCTTCGGCGTCTCCGGATCGTCCAGTGCCGCCTTCGCTCGACGCCGTCTGTTTTCCAAAATTGCGCTCCGAGAAGGGAAACTCCCGGCACGCGAGCACGTCCGCGGATAAATCCGTGAGTCGATAAAACTCGCGAGGCGAGTGCGAAGGCGTTGGCTCCTCTCTCGATTCTTTTCGCGTGTCCTGGAGGAAGTGCATGAATTTTCTATGACCTCTTTGCGGTGCTGTGCGGAATTTCGATCCAGTTCGGCAATGAAAATGTTGAGTTTCGAAAGTACGTTATTCGTTCGCGGAGAAAAACGCATACGTGTTGTGGGTGCATTTAGTCTCTCGACGTTTTCGTATCTCGCGTTCGATGATTATTATTAGAAGAGTAATTTTAAACAGGACTTTAATATTCAAACACGCGTACGTGTAGTTTTAACGTGACTACGCGTTTTCTTTTAGAAAAAAGGATTTTCCTCTTGTTAATTAACGGTAGAATTATTCAAATTATGAAACACTCGATGCAATGAATGAAAGATTATATAGATATGCGTGACATAATTTCGCTTATCTTAATTTAATTCTTATTAGTAGCCGATGGACTTTATCGTCCGAACACGTGTAGACATCTTGGTGAGTTGATAACGTGAAGCGTTGATAACATCAAGCGTTAATTTTTTTCTCTCTTTCTTTCGTATGCGAAAAAAGTGCACAAATATCTTTACATTTCTTAAGAGAATACTGATCGGAAGCATTATGAAGTTTTTCTCGTTTACATTACATTGATATCGAATTATTTACCAGAATGAGGAAGAATAAGGAAAAATAACGACTTGTTCTATTTGATTGACTGATTCCATATGATTGAAATGGAAATGTTTTTATCGCCCGAATGAAACCGACGAAAAATAAGATAATAAAACTTCTGCATGATACAATTTTCATTCGCTGCTATATTTGCGTCTTTAAAATTCCTCTCAAGTCCGTTTTTTTGTAATAATAAATCCCTCAGCTGAAAGTATCAATAATCGAATCCGTTCTTTAATTTGCATTTAAACGCGTTCTTCATTTAATAAGTTTAACTCGGAGGAGCTTAGGTGGTTCACCATCGAATAATACATCCGCCAGTCACACACGGGCTAAGCGGAGTAAGAACCGAGTAATCCTCCGACTCACCTGGACTTCCGCACGTCAGTCTCCGGCACTATGCGGTCTGGTTTCACACTAAGCCGCGTCGCCCCGGCCATTCATGTTTAGCCGCGGACGGCGGTGTGGCCGCGTCGCGGCCCGAAATCGATATAGTGTTTAGAAAGCAGCGCGTCTTTCTTTCTCCTTCTCTCGTGTCGCACCCACGCCGTGGGCCGCACGCCTACCTTTCGCGTCTCGGCTTTCGTGAGCGGGAGCGGACCCCCCCGGGCGCGACTAAGGCTTCCTACGTGTCTTCATTCGAACGCTACGCCCACGCCGATCGTAATTGTCGCGGGCTGTCGGGCGAACCCGCCTTGGCGATTCACAAACCGCCGGCGGTGTCCCGATATACCGCCCTCGGCTCGCTCGTGCGTGCGTTGTTGTGATTTTCGCAGACGGCAGACGCACAGCACCGCGATTCTCCCGCCGTCTCCGTCGCCCATAATTAATCCTTTGAGACCCCCACTGGTCACGGGTGCACGCACCGTTTGACATTTATCCTCTGTCTAATCGCGGTTGCCTGGCTAATTGAGCGGCATACACGCGCCGCCCATGAATCCGCGTCCTTCTGCCCAGACGAAGACCCGATGATGTAAAAAGCTTAAGTAACAACAGCCGCCGGTCTGAAAATAATTTTCCGCTTTTGGCTTTGGAAGTTGGGCTGCGGAGTTTACTGGATTTAGTCGGTCGCGAGGGTAAACGACCAATTTGTAGAACGTAATCCTGCCTCTGATCTATTTCAGAAAATTCTTACTTAATAGGTTAATAATAATGTATTTTTATAATTTTTCTTTGTTGAAAAAAATGGCAAATAATTAGCAATGTGTCTAACTTGCCGAAAACGTTTTGATCAAAAGGAATGCAAAGATATATAGCGGTGCGCGTAATTGCTGACAGAATATCTAAACAATTCGGGCGCCGAGTTCGTACCGAGTCACGGATGACACAAAATTACCCGGAAGATTAATGCTACAACAATGCTGCGACTGCTGGACACATCTTTAACGACCAGGACGATTGTTGTGTGCCAATTTCGCTTGTATGTGTGCGGAAAACGGGCGCGCGGTTGAAAATAAGCCAACTGTGTTGGTGTTTCAGGAGTGTCCAAGCTCCCTTATCTGCCGTGATGAATGTTGCGAGATGAACGTCGCGAGAGAATTCAGAATACCTCAGTATCGCCGTTGAGCGTAACCCGGAAAAAATGATGTATTACGTGACAGGCAGGAGTGGTTCAGTAACCCTCCGGTGGAGCTACCCCTTTTATTATCCGCGACGCATCTGCACAATGCCTCGCGCTGTTGACCTCCTCCCTTGACGTTGACGGCTCCGTCCAAACGCTGCGTGAAATCGCGATAATCGATAGTACGTTGCGAAAGAGTGCATCGCAAGAAACGTGAATGAAAGCCGTAACGCGCGGGGAGACGGAAAGATTGCCGGAACTAATGCCGCGAGATTTGCTAGGAAAATTCGGCCGAGTGACGGCAAACTGATAGCTTACATCCCTTCGAAAGTTCGCCCGAAATAGATTTAGTTTACCAAAGTTTAATTGATTCTTCACGTATCTTCATGGAGCTGATTAATATTCATAATATTGTAAAATAGTTCGTTGAAAAATTCAATATCGCCAATAAGTGTGTTAATAAACTTGAAAATAGAAAGGACCTTTATAAAGATCTGAGCAGCAATGATTAATCTTTAAGTGATTGCGATCTTTATATAGTCAGCCTTGTCTGTTTTTTCAATCTTGCGCCGAGCACAGTAGTTGAAAATTTTATGTAGTTTAAAAAATCATTATTTGATGTAATGTTTTAGGAATAGTTTTAGGAATGATATTATTTAAAACCTTATTTTAAAAAACACATTTTATTTATGTGTAAATCTATCGAAACTGGACTATTGCGATAGTTTAAATGCGCGTATTTATAAGCACAGTTTTACAAATGATTAATTTTAAATCATTCGTTACAGTATGAATAAATATTATAGAAACATATAAAAAATTAATAGAAATAAAATTATATGTCGGGGGAAGAAAATTAATTGCTAGTCTGATCATAACATGAGTTTAACTACTGCTTACGAAAGAATTTTAATATACAACACACATGTGGTTTCATTATTTTATATTAATAACAATTTGAAAACTAATTGAATGTATTATTTTATATTATAATGCGTGTATAATAATAGGTGTTTAAGTTTAATGTAGAGTTAATTATTCGAATAACGACACAAAATTTTATATCACGTAGCGTTATATACTTACAAAAATATCATAATTTTATTTTACTTAGTTAATTATTATTTTTGATAAAATTATAATGTGAAGCAATATACATTATTGTTATATTATATACATAAATTTTGATAATAATTCACATTTCCTCTGATGGTGTCGTTATATTAAAATATGCCTTTTAATTAAGCTGTTGAAATAATTACATTTATCAAATATAATATGTCCATCTGTTTTCGTAGGCAAATGCCTTGCGCATATCATGTATTCGCATATTATCCCGAAATGCACATTTATCACGACTAATTGACTTGTGTTTGTTCGCAGCGATCATGCCAGGGATAAGCTGATGACTTTCGACGCCTGCAATGATGTGACAATAAAGATACCTCCTTCTACTCTCTGATAACTCGGGGATCGTCCCTATTACACACAGTGCTTCCCAAATAATACACACGATCCGAGAATCACGCGCAAAAAAAAGCAAACGCCAAACCGCCGGCCGTCGTCGGCGTCGTGGAAATCGGTGCCAAAAGTCGACACAGATAAGCTATAAGAGATCATCCTGCAAAAGTGTGTCAAAGAGGAATCGAAGGGGGTGAAACCGAAAGAGATAGCAAAAGAGAGAGAGAGAGAGAGAGAGAGACAGAGAGAAAGAGAAAAATATATAGACGTAGCGAGGAGATTCTGAGAAAGACGGGCGGACATACGTGCGGTCAGAAGTGTGTTAAGGCGTGTCGAGCCGGAAACACGAACGGGCATCACGAGAGAGCAGGGTGGTGGTGGTGGTGACGCAGGGCGGTGGTGGGTGGTGGTGGCGGGACAGGCAGGTGGCGGGATCTAAGCCGGAATAAGAGCAGTTAGAATGGGCAACAAGCTCTCCTGCAGTTGCGCGCCCCTAATCAGATCATCAAAGACGTATCGCTACGAGGACAGCCCATGGCAGGCTGGCGCCAGGGCCGGGATGGGCGGCGGCGCCGGACGCAGGGGTGACACTGGCCACTTGCTCAGGTGCGGAAGCTTAAGAGAGAGGAAGAGGTGCGCATACCATACCATTCAACCATTGAATCACTCTCCACTCGACCATGTTTACCACTCTTTCTCTTCAATAATTACCACTCGTACACACTTGACTTGAATGCATTATGTTGACTCTCTCTTTCTCTCTCTTTCTCTCTTTCTCCCTCCACTTCTCGCTTCCCTTCTCTCTGCTTTCGTTCTTGATACGCGGCATGAGCAGCAGCGGCTCTAGGCGACGAGAATGAAAGTTTTTCAGCGCTCGCCTAGCGATGACAATTTGCGAAATTTTAAGCCCGCGGCGTGAAAAGCTTGCGGGATTCTCATAATTGCAATTAATTTGCTCACGTTCATGTCTTTCTTGGAAATGTCTATTGTATATAATTTTGAGGAAAAAATTGATAACGGATTGTTTTCTTATAATTCACTTGAGATTCGCGAAATTCCAACATATTCTGAAAATTGGAAAAAACAACATTAGCAAAAATTATAAATTACAAACACAACTGCTATATTTTATCGCGATACCATCATCGATCTTACTTCCGAGAGTGCTCTCGAGCGTTTACTAAAAAATGCAGCATGTCGGGGGTCCGGACTTATATATTATTTCATAGCGTCTGGTGAGAGACTATATATTTCTGTGCAACTATATGCCAAACTCCGATGCAGGATCAGATACTGTTTTCTTTATTCGCGTCACCTAGATCCTCTCGCATCTTCCTCATTCTTTCCTCCTCTTTTAACTTCTTTCTCTATCTCCCCCTCCCCCCGCTGTCTTATTTGCTCGCGCTTACGTCTTTAACCCTCCTTCCTTTCTCTTTCTTCTGTTACTTTTCGTTTGGCTGATCAAGCTCCATTCATCACGACTGATAGGCCGTTCTTCTTATTCGGATCGCGCGGTTGTTTATTTTGAGTGATATTTGGTAGAATTCAGGCGCCGCGGAAGTATTTTTCATCTGAGGGGGCAAAAATCATAAATCATAAATCATACATAATACATTCATAACATGTATATGTATGTAGCGCCATTCAAACACCAAATAATAGGCCACCTAGTAGATAGTATAAATGTGCAAAAAATATTTTGTTCCAATTAACTTAATGCGCTTAATTTTCTCTCGTTATATAGTGTACTTCAATTTAACGAGTGAATAGTCAAAAAAAGGAAAAAGAAGAAAAAAATAACCTATTTTTCCACCTTTGATGTAAATATTTGATACTCAATATTTTTGGTCATGAAATACCTGAAGAAAACAGAAAAATTTTAGGGGGGGGAGGGGGTCGAACTTTATTTTATTCCACCAGACGTACGTACGTTAAGCAATGATATACACGAAGGAAATCCTCTTTCGTTTAATAAATAATACGGACAATCTTTTTTCCTGTTATTTGCTTTGCACTATTAATTATATTTGAGTTAAGCTGAGTAAAAAAGTTACGTTTTAAATACTCCTCCCTGGTAACGTCACCTTTTTCATATTTTTATCACACTTCTCAATTTTTAATACTTGGATGTACACCTACACGTATATACTGCCTACTTTATACCTCACCTGTACACACACGCTTCGCATGACTATTAGTATTTTTAGTATAATGTCATTACTTTTCCGTCCACTGATTTAACTCGGTGCACAAAATTCAATAATATATCGTCCAGCTTTATCGTTTCAAAGAGCTTTGGAATTGAAAACAAATATCTGCAGATCATACATTTTTAATGCAGAAAGAGGTCGGTGTTTACACTGTAAATGTAGATTCCGCACACACGTGATGTACGTGCATTCGCGATTTTCCATCCGACGTATGTGACAATTTCTTTTTTATCCGTTTCGAGATACAGTGCTGTTGCGACCGATTTATTTTGGACCGTGCAAAAATATTTCTACGTAGCTTTAGTGCAAAATCGATATCTATTATTGCAAATGAAAAATGATAACGACGAATACCTTCCGATTACAGTCTCCTTTTTTTTTCACTTCTCTTTTCGCCACTCTTTGCACCACTTGTGTCATCACGGCTGCTTGACACTTTCTCATATTCTTCCCTTCGAATGTTTCCCCCGAAACGACGTGTCGATGTTCCGAGAATTGTCGCAAAACACGATATAATGACGAGAGTTTTTAGGCTGTGGGCCGAAGTGTTCCATGTAAACTCGAGCGGGGCCGGAACCGTCAAGTGGCAGCAGGTGTCCGAGGATCTCGTCCCGGTGAACATCACCTGCATTCAGGACTCGCCGGAGTGCGTCTTCCACATCACCGCGTACAACAGCCAGGTCGATAAGATCCTAGACGTGCGGTTGGTCCAGCCAGGTATGAGTCGTATTTCAAACACAGCTTTTTCGAAGCAGCAAATACTACGACAGCCCTTGCGAAAGCGCAATCGAGATACTTCGCTCTCTCGATACACGTGTAAATGAGCGTTACATCCCCCTTTGACGATCAATTTTGTTTTCTTCGCGACGACAAAAATTCATTTGCATAATTAATATCGTGTGATTAATCGTGTTCAAGGTACGCGCATCGGCCAGGCGTCGGAGTGCTTCGTTTACTGGAAGGACACGGTGACAAATGATACGTGGGGGCTTAACTTCACGTCTCCCATAGACGCAAAGCAATTCAGAGAATGCTGCGTAAGTTTAGTGATATTACACCCGCGACACGCATGTTGTTACATTATATACATCGTTACCACAACTCTGTTCGCTGTCGCTCTTTCTCTCTCTCTCTTTCTCTCTCTCTCTCCCTCTCTCTCTCTCTCTCTCTCTCTCTCTCTCTCTCTCTCTCTCTCTCTCTCTTTCTCCCCGTATTTCTCGCTCTCTCTCTCTTTCTCTCTATCTCTCCGCCTGTTATCCCTCTCCCGTCCGGATCGCGCGCGAAGGAAGTTGAGCGGAGGTAATTTAGGGGCGACACAACAACAACAAGTCCGATACGTCCGATTCGACTTCTTAGATCATTTGCAGTCACTAGTTAATTTTCCATACAGTCACCGTCGTTCAAGATTTCAAGGAAAGCGTCCTCTTCTTACTCGTTGAAGCTCGAGCCGCCGAACAAGCAGAAGATCAAAACACGCCGAAAGCCAGTGTCGACGCCGGCCTCACCCAGCCGATCCAGAGAGCCTCAGTGCACCTGCATGGCGCCGGAACAGTACGCCAGACTGCGTAGCCAAGACCCCAGATACCGAAGTCCGTGCGGTACGCAAATTTTTTTCAATAAATCACTCCTGCATTCCACTTTTGCATATTTATTTCGCGCCGCTTGGATTGCAATAATCGATGAGCCTTTTCACTCTTCTTCCAACAATTATCCTTATCCTCAATTATTTGTGAAGTAAAAATATTTATAGTTTATTATTTCGTGAATTTGTCTCAAGTAACCATCGTTTGATGTTACGCGCAAAAATAATCTTTTTGTACTTATTAAAATTGTAATTTCAGGGCCGTCTACGCTTCCACGGACCATGGCGCGGTCAACGGAAATGGAAATGCCAGGACGAGACAAGATAACAGCGGCCACATCCAGCGCATCTCTCTACGACAACGTTAACAATCCTAGTGCGACACCCGGGAAGACACCAAAGGCCGGCGACTTGGCCAAACAGAAGGAGAAGCAGAACGAGACGTGCCAGACGACCCCGAAGACTGCCAACATCGGAATTGGAACTGTTACGGTGGGATCGCAGGCAAGCTTTTATCATAGCGATGTAGAGATGCATTTTTTTTTTCAATTTTCTTTGAAGCTGTTATGTCGCAGACTAATTGCAATTTTTTTTTCTTTCTGAATAATTCATTATTATTATTTATTTTGTTAATTATTTAAATAAAACACAATTTCTTCATTAAAAAGTACTTAGCTTTTTAATAGCAAAATGTTATTTTGTAATTTATTTAGCTAATTGCAAGCGAATCGCTAATTTTGTTCTTCTTTGCATTTTTTAGCAACAAAAATATATCTTCCAGCTTCTAACATATTCGTGTATGAAATTAAATTGCACTATTTCGCGGAAATCTCAGATTAGAATACTTCAATTACCGATGCAAATTTATCGATAACGATTCGCCAATTCCATGAAAACAGATCGACAGCCCCGACGAGAAGGGTTCCATAATATCGCCGAAGAAGTCGCAGAAGCAGAGCCAGGACTCCTCCACGCAGCAGAACGGCCCCGAGTTGTTGAAGTCGGAGGGCACTCAGGCCGGCGGCACCCTGCAGAGTAAATCGCTGCGCAAGGAGCAGCTGCACCATACCAAGTCGGCCGACTACACCGAGCTGGAGATGCAGAACGGCAATCTCTTCAACATCGTCAACAACAATCACGGCCACAAGTCGAAGAGCAAGAGCACCGACGACATGCGGATCGAGAATGCGCAGAACGGCATCAGCCTGGACTCGAACACTCTGAAGCGCATGCTGAAGCCGATGCCGAGCATCGACAGCCCGGTCACGTCCCCGGAAATGACGAGGAAGCGCCACAGTCATCACAGCTACCACTATCATCCGAGCAATAACAATCAGAAGTACGTTATGCAGGAGGTTGACAACGAGAACTACGCGCATCCCTATCGCGCGCCCTACAACAACAAATTCCAGGGGTCCAGAAGCGCTCACGACATGAGTCGGCAATATGCTGGTACGATTGTTTCTCAACGGTATTTAACTGGTTTATCGCGTCTTCTCAGGCCCTTTCGGGCAAAGTTTTTGCTGCACGCTGTCCATTGATACATTCAAATCATCTCTGATTTTGATTTTATCAACCACATCATAAATGTCATAATTAATACACATTGTTATTTTAATATATATATATTTGTAAGATATAAAAATGAGGGTAACGCTATTATTGTTGAGATAACTTAGTGTTAACAAAAATATATCAAAGATCTTCAGTCGTTTTGAACAAAAATTTAAATAGACAAAGATAAAATGTCGACAGCTCAACAATGAAAGTGTTGAAAAGCGATTAGAGTTCAGCCACGTAATTTTTTCCTAAAAAAAGTTACAGTTAGACTTATTTGTCATAAAGCAGTGAGATCTAGTCGAGCGTGACTTGAAGAGCGAAAAGTGACAAAGTTCACGCCGACAATTACGTGACTGATCTTGCACCTAATCTCGCCCCCTCGTTTTGACCCCACAATTCCGGCGAACGCGTAACGCTGTAAGAAATTCCCCCCTGCAACTAACCCAGCATCTCTGGCTGCACCTCTAACCTTTCGTTACACACCCCGGCACAAGTTAACATGCGCGTAGAGCGACAACGTGGTGATCAGCCACGCTAACCAGCCAGCTCCACCCTGATGAAAGTCACGAGGTCACCCACCACCACCCTTGCGGCACCTCTAACATTTTGTTACCCCTAATCTTCTTACGTAACATGCGCACTGAGGGACAACGTGGTCGTTCTGTCAGCCCAACGAGTGCGTCATAGTTCATTCTCGGGTGAACCACTTGCCGAGTTACGCGTTCGGCCGTTCCCGACTTAACTGACTAAACGTTCCTCATTCATCAGCGGACCACCGCACGAATCACCACGTCCATCGTACATCCTGCACTCTCGGTTGCACCTCTCTGCTCGCAGGCGGCAGAGGCAGGACGTACTTAGATTCGGAACGTAATCGGTGCACAGGTGACATGTCGCCGCCCTCGGACAATGTCATTTTCGATAACCAGTGCTACGCCACCACGCCGAGCTCGTCGAACGGCAACTCCGACATGGAGCAGCCGAACCACTGCAACTCCCGTCGCTGCAACGGCGGCCAGACATATCAGCAGAATATGCAATCGGTGTCGACGCCGGGTAGCCCGACCAGCCGGCTGCTTCTCGAATACGAGATGCATCTCAGGAACACCCTGGCCAAGGGCATGGACGCAGAGAGCTATAGCTTGCGTACGTTTGAAGCCCTACTTTCGCAGAGCATGGAAAACTTGGGTGAGACTTTATTTCATCTATGAGAAAATCTAAAAGAAAAAGGACAATTTGATCTCTTATCATCCAAATTTATATTTTTTTTTTATAAATCTTGAATTAATTTCAGTAAAGAAAATTGTAAGTATAGAAGATTAGACTTTGCATAGATTGGAAATATACTTTCCTCAAGTGCTTTTATAAATAAAATTATTCTTTTTTAAATAAGTAAAAGTAATTTTCTTAATTTTTTAATGTTAATTAATATAAAGATACGAATTTTATTATATATAACATTTCTTTTATTACACAATATTTTTTAATTACATTTTGTTGCATTTCTGAATGAAAAATTTGACGAAATTTTGAAAATATTTTTGCATAATGACATTTGATAAGTTAAATTTTGGGATAATTATATTGCATGTTATTTTTGTGGTCAGAAAATATAGTCTTTTTTTACGTACAACTTTTATCCCACCTTTGTTCTTTTCAAATGAATGAATACATTAAACTTTAACCTTTTTAATTTTTTACCAGTTTAATATAATTATCAAAATAATTTAATTAAAATTACTAATTAAGTAAGTTTTATTAAAAAATAATTTTTTCCACTTTCTAGAATTCGCAGAAAACATACCGTTGAACGTTCAGCGTACACCTCACGTTTCACGAAGGCGTAAGTTTGAACGTACATACATATATTAAAAAAAAAGATTATTCTTTTAAAGAATATTTCATCTTGTAATGCAAATTTTATCATGGTTGCAGGTTCCAGTTCCAACAAATCATCAACTCTGCCGCTGTCGTATCGCTACTGCAATGAAAGGCAAAATAGCAAGGATAGAGACGGCTATTATAGCGACCGCAACGAGATGGTGAGAGAGAAGAGAGAGCGAGATTCTGAACGAGATCGCGGCTACCTCAGCGATTATAATTCTAGGTAAACCACCGATTAAAGTTTTATTAAGATTTATTAATCCACATATTAAATTTTTACTAATATGTACAACACAAAAAATTGAACCCACATGCTTATTTATTTATACAAATTTATACAAATATATATAATTGTATAAAAGAATAGATTCTCAACTTCAAAATACAATTCAGAATATAATTTTTAGCTATTTTTAAGATTATACATAATCTTTGCCATATATAAGAATTATATGTAAATGAGAAAACGTTTGGCATATACAAAAATATGAAAATATGAGAAAAGTGAAATTTGGAAAATTGTTTTCTTTTCTTCGATTATTTATTAAAAATAAAAAAGTGGGTTCAATAAAGATACTGGATGAAATATAATTTTATAATCATTCTTACATAGTCTTGTAACACGAAAAACAATTCGAAAAATTGTAACAAAACGTTTAAAAATCGTTTTTTTCATTGATGTTTAATTATTTGTCGAGTATTTTTGAATCTTTATGTGATTTGTGACAATTACAAAATTAATTCATTGACGTGTTCCACCCGGCTCACTGAAATATCTCCTACGTAAGTAGTAAAACGGGAATTAGCGCCGACGTGCGTGGCGAGGCTCAATAATAGCTCAGCCGACCCTTCGGTTGGCGAAGAGTTCGTCTCGAAAAAAAGGCACGAAAGTCGTCTCTCGCTGCGAGACTTTGACATTTAAAGGGCTGCGCCCTACAACACTACAGTCAATGAGACGTGCTCATCCATTAAGGGAGCGACCTGGATAATATCACCGGATGTGGTATCGTCTATCGATAGTCCATGGGCGATGGAAAAAAAAAGAAATATCACGTGCGCTGTGAGGCTATCGATAGCGACGCGCGTCGACGAGCGTCGCGTGGCGTCTATCCGAAGGTACGCCTCTCGATAGAGCTCTCCGGTATCGGCGCGTGCATCATCATCCTCGGCCGCCGCTGGCGCGTTGTGCATTACGGGTCAGCGACGGCAACTGACAGCACAGCAGGCCGCGACGTAAATATAGAAACCTTGCGAGTGGGCTTTAGCTCGATGCGAAGAAGAACGAAGAGGAAGGGTGTTTCGTGGCCGCGAGGATAAGGAAGAGACGCGTGTGAAGGGGATTAGCGTGTGCGAGATCGCTGACGGATCGCGCGGTGTATCAAAGTGCAAGGCGCGTCTGATAGATCAGAGAAGAAACGCGCGAGGCGGAGTGCATGAGAATTGCGTATCTACGTTGTGCGCGACATCGTGCAGATGCATGCCAGTGCGAGATGATGAATTATTGATATTTGAGGATGCGCGCCGAGTAACATTATGCGTTGCATAAATTCCCGATAGCCGCGAATGTGAAGTGCGAGAAGACGTCGCTAATAAATCACCGGATGTCTTGACAGTCGCGTCACGCAGTAGAGTCACACCGATGGCAGGATCGGATGCTGCAGATAGTGATCGATGCAAAGTGCAAAGTGCAAAGGAAAATTGATATAAATTGTCGACGTTGCGAGAAGAAGTAGCAAATTGTTCAGATACTTTCCAATGGATAATATTTATTTGGACCAAGAATGAATTCGAATCAAATGCGAAGAGGCCTTCGTCGCGCCGTTGTTGATTTATAAATGGAGATAAAGATAATTTCGAACACGCATCGAAACGAGAGAGATATCCATCGCGCTATTGATATTCAGATGGGGACAATTACAAAAGTTAGCCTGCGAAAATAATCGCCTCTCTCGTTGTGAGAAGCGCAGCTGTCAGTCGCGTTAAAACGGAAATAATTGCTTCGCCGTTCGCGCGGCCGTGTGCAAACAGTGTGATACTTTCGAAACGAATGCAACATTAATTATTTCGAATGCACGGATAATTATTTCATCGCGCCCGCGAGCCCGCCGGTCGCATGAAAACGCGAAACGGGAGCAAATAATTATTTCCTCGTTGCTGCGAGCGCGCGTAAACAGCCGATCGTTTTCCACGCCGCGACGATAATCATCCCTTCGTTACCGAGCGCAAACGTCGAACTAATCATCCAGTTGATTACATTGCCATTGCGATTGATTTGAAACGCTAAATTTGTAATCGCAACGATGAATTACAATCTGCAGCGTAAATATCGATCGCTCGAGAGGCGGCGAGAGCCGAAGAAGATGCCGAAGCTGCCGAAACTTCCGGAGAAGGTGTTCTACCGGATTCTACCGAACGAGTCCGCGGACAAGTCTAGGAGTAAAAAACACGTCAAGTTCCAGGTGTTCGGAGAGGACGACGAAGTGAAGATCGTCGTGCCTCTTTCGGATTTGTCGCCTGTTCCCGCACGGTACTGCGCGTCCGTTGTGTGGGACGCTGATTCATTTAACTGTTTTCTGATTCAGATATCGTTGACGATGCGCAGCGAGAAAAGTACCGAGAATCAACGGAATATGAAATTAATATAACTTTATAAAAAATATCATACCACATTAACGAATAATTGCACAAATTGACAATGATTTCTTATAATTACTTTCATATTGATCGCAAACATTGCTTCGACACCACAAAGACTTCTAGATCATTTATTTCGATTAAAGCGAAGCGTTATTAAAATAAAAGAATCTTATAAATGGTGTTAATTGTATAATTAAACACGATGTTTGCAGATGCGCCAGCTGCATCGGGGAGTCCGCGCGTGCACAATGGTTTCGACATTCCGACGGCTGGCAATCCGGCAGCTCGACTCTTGGTTCAGGCGCTTCGAGCTCGATAAATCCGGGATATCCTGGACACAAGAGAGAGTCGCCTTGGGACTCTCTCCCGTCTCTGAGACACGAGAGCAGCCTCAACGACAGCGGTTACAAGTCCAATAGGACTGATTCTCTCGAACAAAGGTGAGGGAAGCATCAAGGAGATCCCTCATGCGAGTCCGAGTTATTAGTAATCAATAACCGTTGTTCGGGATGTTCGAGAAATCCCAGCTTTAATTTTAATAATAGATTTTATCAATAGAGACGAATTTTGCCTTTTTTTCGCGTTAAGGCAACAATCATTTTTAATTATAAGTAATTTATATAAAAATATATAAAATTAATTGAAAATACAGTGAAAAAGTATTCGCAAAAATTGGCGAATTTTTGGAATGTAGACGCAAAAACAAATATTTGTCCGGATTTCACGATTATTGGCCACTTTTTCAATCTTTTCAATTACGTAATAACTTTTCGCAATAATCTGTAGTATTGAAATTAGCTTTGTTGCGAAAGAAATCGTTAGAAAGTACCTTAAAATTGCATAAATCCGCTCCACTTAATGAAATCTCAAGCCGTCAACGTTTTCTTTATCGTATTCGTCATATAAATCTTCATTATGTGTATTTAATCGTAAGATACGGAGATATAACAACTCATTTTAACGAAAAATATACAGCAGAGATATAAATATTTCAAATGTATCTGAAAATATGAAGCTAAATGTTAAAAAGAACGTGTATTCTCTCTCGACACAATGCGTACTTGCACTTCAGCGTTCTTTTTGGCTCTTTGGCTCTTTTGGCGCACGGATGACGCTACCTTTTGTCGCCTTATATTGTTCACATTGTTTTCTGCGCTTCCATTGTATTCCGCGCTCTCTTTCTATTTTTATCGCACTCTCGGCTATTCTCTGTATTGTCGCGGTTCCGAAAACGGTTTCATTAACCTTAGTACCTAAGAGACAGTCCTTTTCATCACCAACGGCCAGTATTCGCAGTGCACAAAATATCTCCTTTTATCGCATTTATATCGCAGATATTAAATAAAAGTTCCCATTAATCGTACAATTTTTACGAATTCTTTTACGGACAAATTTAGAAATTTTAATTGAAGAAGCTTGTCATTGAAAGACGTCCGTTTTATAAGCTCGGGGAACTGTACTGAAATATTCAGTTAGATGTTTTGCATATTCCAGAGGCACTTTCGACAGGCAGGACAGCGTCAGATCCGACTACATGTCCGATCGGGACGGCAGATACGGAATCGTTCAACAAGCCTCACTGGAAAGCACCGACTCGAGGCTTTGCTACTTGACGTCTTCCGAGGTGAGTTATCCAAGCACTCATTGACCTTATCAACTCGATACATCCAAGTGCTACTCGACGATGCCTTTGTAGCATCGCATTCGTGCTATGCGCGAGTTACGGCGCATACGAAAGCCCGCTTGGATGTCTTGCACTAATCTCGCATGCCGCCAGCATATCTCTGTCAATGTCAGACCACTCTGCACCAGTGATAATTGTGAAACTACCGTTGTAGATTATTAATAGAGGTTGTATTCCCTTTTAATTCACTCCGGTGCGTAGTCGCTGCGAAATTAATGCTTAATTCTGCACTTAAAAATCATCGATACGCTGCGTTAAATATTAAATCTAATTGCGTACTTCAATATTAATTAAACGCAAGATAAATGCACGTCGACCGCGAAATGCGATTGTGAATATTGATTTAACCGGAAATATAGATTTTGGAAGATAAGATATAATTAAAGCAACCATATATGGATAACAGAAATATTTTAATTAAATAATATAACATACTCAACTATAATATATAACGCATTGTCAACTAAATCAATATTTGGATAAAAAAAACATGAAAAAGATAAAATGTAACAAAATGTTTACAGATTAAAAGTTAAAATTATAATAAACTTTGTTTTTTAATTTTGGTTAAAGTACCAATACTATAAAATTATTAGAGCGAGAAGATATAATAGATATTTATTAGACACATTATAATTATTTCCCTCAAATTTCGCGTTACATTTGTTTTATAATTACGAACTAAATATAGACGATGGTAATATCAGTAATATCAGTTTCTTTTCATAATGAAAAAGGTGCGACGTTTATATGGGTTTTATGTCTAATTTTCTTTCTGTCGTCCTGGTTGCATGCGCATACAACAAAAAACTTTTCACAAAGCGTAAAGGCGCATTCGTAATGTGGCACGGACGCATTACTTTTAAAGTCCTTTGAAGAGAATCTTTTTTGCTTGCACTCACCATCCATTTGTGATTTAAAACGGCAAAATACCCAGCTGCCATAGCCGCGAAAGCTCAAATCAATGGGCGATGGCGGCAACTATTCCCGAAGGCTTTATAGCTATTTCGAATCGCGATAGATAAGAGCGCACTTTTGCATAAAACAATTTACATCTCATTCGTTTGTTTTGATTCATGGCTTGTTTAAACAAAAAATATTCCACTTTCACAAAGCTCCTTTGTAGATATATTTTTAATTTTCAAACATATTAACGGAATCTTTGACGTAATTTAAATTTCACGTCTGTCACGTCGATTTAATCGGTTATTTTATTTCTTAAAAATATTATTAATTATCCGCAATAAAATTTGTTCATATTGATTAAATTGTCAATCACCTTTTTTTTATCGCATTTCATGTAAAAGGAAAATTTTCGTATTGCACGGAGTTTTTTAATTTTTGCACCAATATGTGCGATAACATCGGTACACACAGCATCAATCTCTCTAAAACGCCCGTGCAATGCGATCCAGAAATAGTTCTTGGTTCTAGTAGTTGCGAGAAATTGCGCAACTTGGAAATCACTCCGTATAAATCGTAGCGGCACGGTTGCACAAATTGCGCTCTCGCAACCAGCCACGCCTATCGTGTAACAACGGCGTTACAAAAGAGGTCAGCGCGAATCGAGGAAACGGAAGTGCAACGTACATGTCGATAATCGCGAGCCGATGTCCCATTCGTGGATGTCCCAATAAAAGAAGGACGGCGCGCAGGTCAACGCGATCCGTTCTCTCTCTCTCTTTCTTTTTTTTCATTCCTTCCCGGCAATCGCGTCGGGAGGCGAGAGGCTGACGTAGAGGCTCGAATTTTCGACGTGCACACGTCGAAGCGACGCGTACGTCGACGCACGACTCGTCCTTCTGCGCGAAGGGCGCGTAGGACAAACGTCGATAACCCACTGACCCTATGGCTCCCGTTTCGCGAGCCGCTCGAGTCCGTCGCTACGTCAACCCCTTTCGGAGTAAGCACCCTGCCGTCTCGGTTGTTTTGCACCGCAAATAGAAGCGTGTAGGTGCACGGGGCTGGCGTATGGTAGGTGTGCATAGAGATCAGGCTGGGTGGAGGTCGTACGTGTGCGGGAATCCCAATGCATTTCACCACACGTATATACGTGTGCGCATGCATTGCACAAACATATCCCGTCGCGGGAGCGTATATGCACACACACACACGTACACATGTGTTGTTCGGCGGTGCCCATTACGAGGATCAACCGCAACAGCGGAGATTCTGTTGGCGCACGCTTATGCAAATGTTGGCTTTTATTCTCGTGCTCCATGCTTCGACCAATTCAAACAGCAATTTCTTTATTGTACGACGTTGCTTTATATATTTATGCTCCAATTTGGATAATTTAGATTTGTTTTCATACATCGGGTAAAAGTGCGGAGTCCAAACTGAGGGTTCGGGATTGGAAAATGTAGATGTGTCTGCAACAAAATATAATTCAATTTGCTTTTACGTCTGTGATTCTTAAAATTATTAAAATCGTGTAAATACATGCTATTTCAAGGTGTCGTTTTTATAATCAAGAGAAGCATACAAGATCCTATAAATAATCATTTCAACTTGGAAATATTTTACGTACGTAAGAAAAATTTGGCAAGTTTCTATTTCGAAAAATTATACAAAAGTCTCGAGATATATCTTCCATAAAGGTCGAGGTTTTTGCAACGCGTTGCAAAGACACGCGTTTAAGGGTTAATGGGTCGCGCCGAGATTATCGGGTCGGGCCTTGTCCGACGTGCGAGTAAATAAGAAAATCGAGCACCCCTGCATCGTTGTACAAATCGAGCAGCAGCCTGCGCCAACAGGTGCATGCGCAAACGCACAGCGTCTTCCAGCGACTTTGGTCGTTCGTCTGCGTCGCTTCGCCCTCATCGCGGTCGCATTAGAGATGTAATCGCAGAAATCGGAAAGATCGTTAATTGGCGCGTAATGCGAACATCGCGATGATATTTCGCTGAGTCCTTCGCGTAAATCCACTCGACTGTATTGCTGTATGCAAGATAAACCGCTCTCCGCGATATATATATTTTAAAACGTCCGATGGTTCTTATCGCCTTGTGCGAGGGAACTATGCCATAAAATTCAATAAAACTTCACGCCGCTCGCATGCGCGCCAACTCGTTATATATAATCTGCGTCGGATTATCCTTTTTTTTTTCTAACGCCCTCCTTCGATTTCTTTTATGGCAGCGAAAACGAAATACGTGACGCAGAGCGCGAATAAAGGAGTCGCGGATAAATTACAACCCGAAGATCAGCGCGTCGCGCATTCGGTATGAATGCGAGCTGTCCGACGCACGAGTCCATGCGTCAAATTTGACGTATAGATCTCCTATATTTCATTGTTTTTTAAGATGGAAGTTCCACGAGATACAACTCCCACGTTTTAATTATAAAAAGTGTGTGAAAAGTACGTTGGAAAAAGATAGCTTAATAATAGTGTAAGCAATGCGGTGCAACGCCGCCGATTGAGCGTCACTGTATCCCCTTTCCCGCGGTCCTCGCGACCACGCGCGAGTTATCTAATAGCGTTTTCGATTATACAGGATTTGAACGACCTAGGGTTGATCAATCACTATTTTACTATAAATGCAAGTCTTTCATTGGTGGAGAGGTTGCAATGACGTCATTAACCAACCCTGGGTCGTTCAAATCCTGTATAATCGAAAACGCTATAATGCGCTGCGTCTAGCGACCTAGGCGTAGGAATATCCTTAATAAGGGCCAATCAGGATTAGCTGATGCAATAGGCGATCCTTGAGCGTGTCACAGCATGTGTGCCGGGCTATTGCCGTTTGAGCAGTTCGTGTGACAACACGTCCGTCGTGTTTTTCGGTAATCAGAACCACGATGTATGTACGCGAGTGTTAATGATATTAATAAATATCGTTATTGTATTATTGTGTTTGCACCTAATATACCGTCCTGCCTTTTGATCCTAACAGATCCTCGATAAGTAACTTCGAGTGGACATTTATGTGATTACCGGTATCGCCATTGCTATTGTAAGAATAGTGTCGGTCGTAGATGTACGTGCCGTACCCATCGGTGGTGCATCGTACGTATCGCGTAATTACCTAACGTAACGCTTACAATAGAAAAAAAAAAAGAATAGGCATGGAAGATGTGTTGACAAGATTCTGGAACTATAACGATTTGTTTGCCGCAATGACGAAAAATGCAACGACAGCGAACCTAGAGAGAGAGAGAGAAAGCACACCGCTGGAAAACTCTCGCCGATATCCTTGATGTCCGAAGATAAATTCATGCGCGAGGACGCGAGCAGAAAAGTAACCGGCGCCTTTCGGAGAAGTCAACGGAACTGACCCCGATTTTTCAAAACTCTGTCCGAATTCAGTTTTTGCCGAAGCGGATATTCGATCCGCGGGGAGGAGAGGGGCGGGGAGGGGCGGAGGGGGGTGGGCAGCGGTAACAATCATCGTGCAGCACTTGGCCGTCAGCGTCCCACCAATTGACGATCATGCAGCGCGTCGCGTTTCCTCCCCTCCCGCCGGCACCTCCCGTGCCACCCCCTTCTCCCTGGAGATGCAATACCACCTCTCTCGCCCTCGTACCTCGTTTCCCTCTTCCGCCTCCCCCCCCCGCCCCCCCCCCCCCCTCCCCCCTCCCCCTCTCTCTCCTACCTCCTCCTCTCCTCCTCCTACCCGTACCCGTACCGTACCGTACCGTACCGTACCGTACCGTACCGTTACCGTTACCGTACCGTACCGTTACCGTTACCCGTTACCCGTTACCCGTTACCCGTTACCCGTTACCCGTTACCCGTTACCCGTTACCCGTACCCGTACCCGTTACCGTACCGTACCGTACCGTACCGTACCGTACCGTACCGTACCGTCCGTACCGTACCGTACCGTACCGTACCGTACCGTACCGTACCGTACCGTACCGTACCGTACCGTACCGTACCGTACCGTACCGTACCGTACCGTACGTACGTACGTACGTACGTACGTACGTACGTACGTACGTACGTACGTACGTACGTACGTACGTACGTACGACGACGACGTACGTACGTACGTACGTACGTACGTACGTACGTACGTACGACGACGACGACGACGACGACGACGACGAGAGAGAGTACGACGTACGTAGACGACGACGAGACGAGAGTAGAGAGAGAGAGAGACGTAGAGAGAGAGAGAGACGTACGAAGGAGAGTAGAGAGAGAGGGAGAGAGAGAGAGAGAGCAAAATAAAGAGAACGAAGAAAGAGAGAGAGAGAGAGCGAAAAAAAAAATAAATAAAGAGTCCCTTGCCCGCAAAGTGCACATCTCGTTTCTCGGTCGCGATCGGTGGCAGTCGGCCGCGAGCGCCTGGCCTTCCGCTGCTCTCCGTGCAGCGGCGATCAGATTCATCGGCGGCGATGACAGGAGCCTTCGACGCGGGCCCGCGCGCAGCTGGGTCCATCAATTGACGTTGCCGTTTAGCGAGCGCACACACACGAGCGGGACGAGCGAAACGAGCGAGCGAGCGAGCGGCCTCGTGGAGAATCGACGGCGGCATCGCGACGCGGCACGACGCAGCTTCTCCCTCTCTCTTCAGCGTCCACCGCGGCTCGCATCCGCCGCCAGGCGCTTCTCGCGGGAGAAGAGCGGTGCGCCGATACGCGGGCGCCGGAAGTTGTCGGGTCGCGCGCGACACATCCCCGGACACGTCGGCAGCGGCGCCAACGGTTGTCGTCCGTCCGCTGGTGTACGCGGAGAGGCCGCGCGTTTCCGCGACGTGCACTTCCGCGTGAACGCGCCCGATTTCTTCGGCAGCGAGCGTCTCATCGTTGCGTCCCTGCGAAAAAGATATTTGTGGAAACGTCATCGTGCGTAAAGGAGCCTGTGCAATTGTAAACCTTTCACGACGACGCGCTCGGCAATAATCGCGAAGGTCCCGAGAGATCCCCGCGTTGACGCGTAAACCGGAAGTGCACAAGTGCACCCGCCGTGGAGACTCGGATAAATCCGATAAAAAGGATTCACGCTTCTGGAGGAATTCTTGGAGAAAGAACGCGACTCAATCAAAAGTCTCTTCAACAATTTCTAATCTTCGAAGAGTACGTGATAATTGCGCAAGATTAGTCGCGAGAGGGAGATTCCCGCAGGATGTCATTGGGATCGACGAGGGATCTTCGCGTTACAATGCGAAACGGAAGTTGAAGCTTTGAGAAACTGATTCGCAAGCTCGCACGTGAGTGCGAGGTCGACGAGAAGCGTCGCGGCGTGCCGGCACGCTTTCGACGATGACGGAATCCATCGCCACTGGGTACCTGGATCCTCGCCTCCCCTTCGCCTACGATCAACTCGAGAATGATTTTCGCCGTGGAGTTGAGTCTTCTAAGCTCTTCGTTTCCGAAGAACTGAGAGCAGCTCAATCGTGATTGGCGAACGATCGAATTCCAATTTGCGGATAAGCGCAAGACGAGGGGGGGACGCCTTAGTGATATCGCGCGGAGGATATAAAAGAGGAACGGAAAATCAGATAAAGCAGAATCAAAGAATATATCTCCAAGAGAAATAATACGGAAATAATATATTTGTGATGAAATTAGAGATAAGAAGAGAGGAGGAACGGCGAACGCGGTGGAGTTTAGAGCGCACTTTTCACGCGCGAGAGAGAGAAGAAAATCGATGCTTCGAGAGGACGTCTATAGCGACGCACGGAAAAGGAGAGAAATCAGCTGTGTAGGAGGGAGGATTTAACGTTCAAAAGAGGATATCCATATGTATACTTTAAGTAGAGCGAGAGAGTATTTTTCTATGGAAAGTTTGTTTCTATTACATGTGTAACACATGATAGAGAGAAAGAGAGAGAGAGAGAAAATATTCTATTATATCGATATCTCCCGCTGAAAAGGCGGGAGTTATGAAGCGGTCGTCGTTCACGATCGTCGTTCAGCATCGTCGACGACAATCCTTCCAGACGTGCGCTTCTTACGAATAAGCGTTCTCGGGGAATTCCCGAGAATTCTAGTGGAATTCTTCTGCGTATAAGTACCTGCGGACACTCGCTATCCTCGTGCTTCTTTATGCAAAACATTGCCCACACTTTGGATTCTTGAGGTAGCTAGATTAAACGTAGTATCGTAGAGTTGACCGTTTATGGAATTCGGCGCATCTTTCCGCGGAAAGTGCGGTCGATTTTAACAGTGCAAAGGACGTTTGCCTTAAATAGAGGACTTAAAAATAAATCTGGAAGGATGCTTCAGATTCCAAATAGATTCGTTGCAGAGAGATTTAATGAATTAACCTGATAAACAGCTATTCTACTGTTGCTTAGCCTCGCAATTGATGCCAATTGCGTCGTGAGATATTTGATGTTTATAAGCTATTGATATTTTATCTGATCCACAACACGTAAGTCACGGACGGCTTGAAAAATTGCATCCCGAGCAATACCGACGCGCACGTAACAATCGTGATAAAAAGTTTAAGCGGAAACGTCAACTTGGACCTGGAGATTAATTAAGACCGTAAAGTCACAGGAGTGGTACAAAAGCGTTTCACGAGACAATGCCGCCGAGCTTGCACACCGCGGCGATCGATCGTTCGGGAATATCTCATTGAGCCACGTGGGCATCCTTCTGCCGTCCCCGAGACAATAATGACAGCGCCGGAAGGGAAGCGAGACGACGCCGTCGGCGAGCGTGAAGACGCGCACTCCATTCGGCAATATTCCTTCCCGTAGGAACCATCCAGCCGCAGATCCCGCGTCTCTTTCCCGCTCGGCCACCGCCAACGAACGACGAATAATGGTAGAGCCAAGATGGTCGATCAAGTGTACGAATAGCACTCTGGACTTGCTGGACCCGAGCGACGACAGTTATACGGATCTGAAGACGCAGCACCGGCGACGCTGCTGGAAGTACTTTTGCTGGTGCCGCCGGCACACGATCAGCGTGATATGCATTAACGAGACGCGCAAAGTGTACTGGTTCAACTGCCGCAGCGTGCAGGAAAAGGTGACGTACGGCTCGGGCGAGGGCTACTACCACAAATTACTGCGGCTGGTGAACGGCGCGCTCAACACTTGGGCGCAGCGCTACATCGACGGTCTGAGCGTGGCGCGCCGCGAGATTATGTTGAGGATCAACGGCAGCGCGGAGAACAACATGAAGCTGCTCAAGGAGGGCTGCTACTGCCACTACCATCCGCACATGACGGCGGACGCGTGCAACGCCGACTTTCTCAGAAGAGTCGTAAGTTTCTGGGCCGGCGAGAGCCTCAGGGGAATACGCGAGAGGCTCCGCGGCATGACGAATATTACGAAAAAGGTAGAGACATCGAGTCGCGAATCTCTTTTTCTATATACTCTTCTGGAAGAATGTTTCTTGATATTGATATCTTGTATGCCCCCGAGTTTTATATATATCCCAGCCACTGCGTATGCGACGATCGCACCGCGAGGGACATCCTCGTATACGGACACCCCCGCTCGTATTGTTGGCATGCGCTTCGGGCAGAAGCGAGGGTAGAGATGACACACGAGTCAAGTCTGCGCCGAATTTTCCTCTTGGAACTTTCGTTCGTCAACCCCCTAACTACTCGCATCATTCTCGCACTCAAAATCGCATTTCATGTTCATTGCCATCGCATTCAAGCATCATAGACTGAAGAAAGATGTGCGCCATTGGGAATATCATTTTGTAATTGGGAATTGCATTAAAAATTATTGTTCGCAACTAGGAACCAAACAAAGTTTTAAGCGCGACAAATGAGCGAAAATAATGAGGGGATGGACAGCGAAAGCAGTGGAATTAGTTAGATCAAGCATTTTGCATTTGCAATATGACTGTCTCTTGCTGTATAAAGCGGATAAAATAGAGATTCCATTAGATCAGATATTTTGGCATGTATAGTCGCGTTGACATTAGCTCTTGGAACCGGTATAAGTTTCTTATGCGATCGAAAGGGCTTCTAAGCTGGCTCCTCGCTGAAGTTGCATCGGTATTAGCTGCCATCTTTAATTAGCATGCGCTGAGCAAAGCCGTAAAATAAAATTTTTTTGCATCTCCACTGCCAATTGTTAGCAATGCGCGAATGTTCCTTTAATATTTTTTCTTTAACATGTTATTTAGTATTATGTCCTGTTTGTGATAATTAATTAATAATTAATACCAATTGAGAAATTTATATTTAACAGAATTTATGTAACGAATTCATTATAAAATTCCAACACACAAATTAAATAATCTCTCTCAAGAAGAATGTCACGTTTTTGATGAACCGATAAATCAATCATCGGAACAAAAATATATATATTACGATGGTGTAACCCATATTTGCAATTCCTAAATATGCACCTAGATAGAGGCACTCTTGATAAATAATGTACATAAAGCATCTTGTCATTGTCAGTAATCCACTAGATTTTTGCATACAACCATGATTTTTCATCGGTATCACGCCAGTATTTCACAATATTTGACTGCACAATACATTTTTTTCTACGCACATTTTCTCTCTTTTCTGTACATTTGTTTCCTCTTTCTCTCTTTCACATTTGAATGATTCGTCATAATACATTCATTTTAATCAATTTTCTTATATTATGTGCAAGCACACAATTCGGAAAAAAAATGCTCCTTTATTTGCTGTTTAATTTGACGTGGAATCACACTCGTATTTGTCTCAATTTTTGCAGTGACATGTTCATCTAAAGCTAAAGATGAAGCTTGACGTATTTTTCAGATGTCAGACGACGATAGGATGTCACTCACCACCGCCGTCAGCGATGATGACGACGGCGAGAGTGTCATAAATTCGCCCTATCGTGGAAAGCAAACCGGCACAGCCGCAGCTTCGTTCAATTGCACCGGGGCAGTTCGGAAGGCGGGGTACGCCGTTTGTACTTTCTTTAAAAATAATGAGCCTTGAGGGGCTATAAAAATATTTCTCGATAATGTTAAGATAGATAAGTAGGCCGCAGCTCCACAAAGAACGATATAAGTCTTCATTTTTTTTACACCATTTACGATATTTTGATTTATAAAACATGTTCAATATTAATTTGCATTGAATTAGAAAATAAGATTTTCAGTTACATATATCGTTGTCTTGTTCAAAAATTTCGAAATGTTATTTAGCGGCGTTTTGTGTAACAGTAATAAACTCGAATACGACAGAGCATTTTGTAATTTCTAGATTCCTCAGCGTGAAGAAATGGTTGCTGCGCAAGAAGCATCAGATCGAGCTGGCCAGGAAAAGGGGTTGGAAGGGTTATTGGGTTTGCCTCAAGGGTACTACGCTTCTCTTTTACCCTTGCGATTCCCAGGAGAGCAGAGCTATGGAGGCGGCACCTAAACACCTGATTATCGTTGACGGCGCGATTATGCAGCCGATCCCTGAACACCCAAAGAGGGATTACATATTTTGCCTCAGCACCGCGTTTGGCGACGCATATCTATTCCAAGTAGGAGAACTAAAAATGTCAAAATAATATACAAAGTATATTTAACTTAACGTAACACGGAAAAAAAGAATTTTGCTGTCGCAGCGAAATCGTCGCCGCTGTTGCATTTGTGATAGCGACAAAACTTTTGCCGTTATAACTAATTTTTCAGATTATTCGGTACATCAGCAAAATTTATCTTTTGGCAGATGAAGTCTGCTGAGTGCATTTGTTCGTAAAGACGCATTAATTTGCTGCTGCAACAAAATAATTGATTTCTAACAAATATATTCTGCAGCAAAATTGTCGCTGCCAATACAAATTTTGACAATGGCGGAGTAAAAATCAATTTGTTGTGTAATTTGCAGATTTAACAAAATTATTTGGCATCTGCAATGAATCTCTTTGCTATCTGTACAACCATTAACACGTTTTGCTACAACAGCGTAAAATTTGCTGTGTCGACAAATTCATTTTTTCCGCGCATGTACAAAAAAAGATCTTTGCTCTTTGCCATTTTGAACTTACGCGATTAACAATGGAGACCGAATCAAGTGAAGTAAAAAGTGAAGATCGTATAATTTACAGTTCTCGTATATTTCTTGGCAAGCAAATTCCCTAATTAGCATTGAATACTACTGCAAATAGCACGCCAATTAAACTCGGAGGAAGACTATTGTAAAGTACACGGTAAATTATTGGAAAATGAGGAGAATAATTATTTCGGCTCAGTTTGATCTGCACACTTCGGTAGCCTTCGGTGGTGCATTAACCGCGCGAATCGCTAACTAGAAGTATTTAATTAACCCCCATCTCGTGAACTCGGTCTCCAGTCACGCAATAGCGAACTTTTAATAGCCTGCGGTTTTTACTTAAAAACTTGCCGCGACTTTAAATCACCCGACTTTAAATATGAGCGACATCGCGATCGATCGATCCGCTTTGAAAAGTTTATCAAGCCGAAAGATCGAAGATCTTGAAATCCTCGCTCGGGGCAGAAATATTGGTGTCTTGTTTTTCTTCATTCAGGCTCCGTGTCAAGTGGAACTGGAAAACTGGGTGAACAGTATTCATTCGGCGTGCGCCGCCGCGTTCGCGCGTCATCGCGGCAAGACTGGCACGCTGCATTTGCTGCAGGAGGAGATCTTTCGCCTGGAAAAGTCGATCGAATCGGTACGTCGGCAGGATAACGTTGGGTTTACTTTATTTCAAATAAGTATCAAAAGTTTAGCAAAATATAGTTTACACTAAGAAAAAAAAAGACGAAGATTCTGTTTCAGTGAGTCCAACTTTTGCGTAAAAGAAAGCAAATGTAAAAGGTAGCTCTTGCAAATCGTTTAAAATCAGTGCATCGGATTTTCCTTTCAGAAAAATTATTACAAGTTTTTTTTAGTGGAATCTGAACATTTTTAATTATCGCTGCGTTTGAGAGTATTGATTAATGTCGATGTGAAATTCGCTGCTCGCAGGATCATAAAATGAAGCATATGGCGGATCTTCAGCAATCGGTGGTCTCCGACGTCGACACCAAGCAGCAAATTAACAATCAAATAGTGCAGTGGGAGGAGAATCTGGAGCGGTTCCATTGCGAGCAATTCCGCCTGCGGTGCTACATGGCCAGTTTGCAAAGTGGCGAACTGCCCAATCCGAAGGTAAGCACCTTCATTGAAATGTCAGCACCAAATGCAGTATACAGTGGAATTAATGCTTAATAATTGAACCTTTATGATCAAAAGGTATTCTCGGCACTATAGACATTATAGGACATTCACAATCCCACAATTGCAATTGTAATTGCTTCAGCAGAGTGAAATCAAGCGTTTTATCAATACGTTATATTCATGCAATCATATTTAAAATATTGTAACATAAAAGTTTTTACATAAAGTTAAAAACGATGCTATTTACAATGATAGAAAATACTTCAATAATATTTGTTTTAAATTATATTCGGAGAAAGCACTTTTTGTTATATGTTTCTCGCGGTGATCGGAGTTATAAATTGATAAAAATCAGCATCACACGTGAAACATTTTTCTCGGATATTTTCTATCCTTCTCCAATTGGTTTAAAGTTTGACAATTCACGAGCATGAGCATTGCTTTATTCCGAGAAAGAATTCGGCGAGCTGTATTGTGTTGATTTTATTTTCCCAATACTCGTCGATTGTGACGCGGTGGAACCGTGGCATTATGTTGGTTTCCATCGCAATCGAACGGAACGCGTTGGTTTAACCATGGCTTTCGTAGCGTGGAGAAGCCCGCTCTCTCGATTCCTCGCCGGCAAACAACATTACGCCCTGCAATCTCGCTGCATTGTCCAGTCCGCGCGGCGTCGCTGCAATTGTCTGAAAAATTGTCTCCCCCGTCCGCGCGCAATCAGGATTCGTTAGAGATTTATCTGTATCGCGAGCATCTAATTTGCGCCATTCGCAACGGCGGGATATCGATCGTCGAGCGCGAGTCGCGTGTTTGGCGACCGGGCAATAATGTTCTCGCAAATCATCGCAATCGAATAACTTTAGTGACAACGATTTGTAATAAAAACTAGAAATTTGTGTGCAATATTTTTTTTATGAATTTTTATTTTTATTCGATCCTTTCTAGAATTGTCCCTCTTCCTTTTCTCCAAATGAGATATTTTTCTTCGAATTTTAGTATTTAAGAAATATCGACCGATGTTACCGACCGATTTTAAATTTCCTCGAATGTCTAATTATAATGTCGTTGAATTCTATTTTCCACAAGAAACTTTCTTTGTGAAAAATAATAGTTTATGGAACATTGTCACGTGATTGAATCCATCTGACGATATTAAATAAGCGCTATGTGTTTTTGTTCTCCCGCAGAGTCTATTGACGCATGTGTCTCGCGCCACGAAGCAGACGCTGAATAAATTGGGCGTATTCACAGTATCGTCCTTCCACGCGTTTATTTGCGCGCGTAGTCCATCCTTGTTGAACAATTTGCTGGCGGGTCGCGGCGCGACCAAGAGGAGAGCGCCGCTGCTGTCGAGATCGAACAGCGGCTCCAGCAGACGCTCGCTGCAAATCTCGTCTAGGGACGAGGAGAAGAGCGTGAAGGTGTCCGTGCCGGAAAATCAGGTACGATCGTCAGGACATCGGGTGAGTTGACTGAAATTCTACATAGTTCTGTAACCCGAGATGCTTATAGCGAAATAAGGATAAGGCGAACGCGATCCGGTGTTTCCTGTTCGTTGTTTCAGCTCGTGTCGGTGTTCCTGCGCGACGCCATGACTGTCGAGGAGTTCCTGGCGAGCGCGTGCACCAGGAAAAACTTAAATCCGATGGAGCACTTTGTGCGCGTGAAAAAGCGCCGAGATATGGAGGACCACAACTACTTTGTGCCACATAGAACTGATTTGATAGAAACCTATGTGAGTCCAATGCTGGAGCGATGAGTTTTAATATCTTTACTTTGAAGATGTCGAAGATCGTAAACGCTAAAAAAAAAAAATTACGCGTTAAATTGCATGAAGAAAGTAATTTACCACGAATTTCTTTAAAAATAGCGAGGAGAAAATCAACTCCTGAATAATTAATTAATTAATAACTAGAAAATAACGCTAGTGCTTAAAGCAGATTATCATTCTTTGCTCGTTTAATTGACCTTATAAAATAATCACAATTGATGATTTCTCAGTGAAAATTGATGCAATTTCTTTTTATTGCACACAGTTGCATACGCACGAAATCGTGGAAGTCTGTGCCAAGATTTTATATCAAGTGGAATTGCAAAGAAACACTTTAGAGCAAATGTGGGGCTTTTCTGTCGAAGCGGAGCTTGTAGAAAACTCCGACAGGCAGGATGAGCTCTGCTGCTATGTTAGTAGAGTGGAAGACAAGAGCGTCGCCATGCAAAACGGTAAGCATCCCTTATCTAGGACAATGTATACCTAAAATAAACGTCCCTCAACGCGGCGCAACGATTAAAAGTCTCAATAGTTACAAGGTTTTTTTATTTTCCTTGTTATTTATTGGCGAGTCTATATAATTTTTTTTTTATAATGATCAATTTTTATTATCTAAATGGGCTTTTGCACGATTGATTTTGTGCAAAAATATCAAATTAAAGTGTAAAATTAACCGCAAAATTTATTTATTTATTAATTAGCGCAAAAGCGATATCGGAGAGAAAGAAAAAGATTTTGTCATCGATCTCTTGGACATGATAGATTTACGTTTTTGTTACAATGATAAGCGTTACGTTACCGAAAACAAATGACATGGCGTTATACAAGTTTGTTATTCCAATTCGCTTCTCCATTCTCGATTTATCTTCTTGCGCATCTTAGAAGGTGACTTGCGATGATGTCCGACCGCAATTAGTTTTTTAGACCGTGTCGGCGCCAGGACGTGCAAGGACGCCATTGAAAAATCATCGATTTTCCGCGCCTCGACGCTTGCTCGTTGAGCAAAGTCTCGTGCTCGTGGTTAAATGAAGCGCGCGTAATGCGCGTAAAAAAAGAAACACGTATATAATAAAAATATATATTATACATGCATACACAGAGAGTGGGATGGCTTAGGGCCGCAGGCGCGCTAACAAATCAGCATGACATTTAGCGCCGCCTTTCCGTATATCGCGTCTAAACTTAATTGACAGCTCACTCGTTAAGCACGACCGAAGGGAGCAACTTATTATAGTTGAGGAGGATACCGAGCCGAACGGTTGGTCGTCTTCGCAAACGAGTCGCGAGGGAGGCTAAAATGTCAGTTGGAGTTAATATTGTAGTTATAAAATATAAAATTAGTGATCGCGGTTGCATTCTGTCACTTTACGAATGTTGGAAGGTTTGAGTGTTAAAAAATATACGAACAGTTGTTCGCAATTTCAGAATTTTTTGCACATCTTAACGATAGAATCTAATAACGCAATCATATCCGCTGTCGAGTCAATTATTTATTAATGATACAAGTATTTTATGGAACAATCTTTTCTCTCTTCTGAAAATCTCGACGCGAAAATCTTGACGCCACTTGGCGACTCTTCTTTCAGGGATCATTAAAGGCGACGAGATTATGGTGATCAACGGCGCCATCGTGAGCGACCTGGATATGATGTACTTGGAGAGTGTCCTGCAAGAGGAGGTGGGTCTCTGTATGATGATGCGATCCTCCAGAACGGAGCCGCCAGATCTCACGGGTATTATGCGAGTCACCGATGACATAATCGAGAGCCTAGTCTGTCCGCCACCCCCCTCCGATCCGCCGGTTATCAGCGAGGAGATGATTTCCGGTCTGATTGTGCCGGCGCCCGGATGGAGTGAGTCCTTTTCTCTCCTAGTATTCGCGAATTCCTAGCATTAAAATCGATGTCCCATTTTTGAAGCCCGAGCTCGCTAAATTAATGAGGCGCGAAGATGGCCTGCGAAAATAGACCGCGGCGAGGAAAGCGCGCGTCGACCTTGAAATAAAATGCGCTCGACAGACCGAAGCGTAGAATCTCCTCGTTATTAATTCATGTGAATCGTGAACGTGTGAGTTTATGAGGAATAGCGCTGGTGATGCGAAAATGAAGCGTTAAGTGTCATTAGATATCGTCGGAAAGTTGATCTTCGAATGCTGAGACATTAAATTTGTCCAACACTGCGACTGGTTCACCACAAATGTCATTCATCTTTTGTAAACTATTTTACATTTCACATATCCTTCTGCTAATAAATTGTACCTGCCCCAAAATATTAATCATGTAATCTTGAAAAATTCTGAAAACTGTGGATAAAAAATTGTCAAAGTGAATAAAAAATTTGACCTTACAATTATAGCTTGTCCCGATCACGTCGCATTTCACTTCGCAGGCAAAGAGAACATAATGCAGGAGTGCACCTCGGCCGGTCACATGGAGAGCAGCAAGCAGACCTCGCGCACAAACTCCTTCGAGATTGAGAATCTTTTGAAAACTGCCGAACAAGTGACAGGGATCTGCCGCTCGCCGGGCGAAACCAGGAAGTCGAGCCCCACCGGTAGCGTCGTGAGCTCCCACTCACAGGCGCTCACACCGAGCCGGCAGCTTAGCGACGCTGAGAAGCTGAAGAAAGTGATTTTAGAACTGATTGAGACTGAACGGACTTACGTAAAGGTAATAAAAAAAGATCGTAATTACGACGAATGAAATAACGAGTGAAAATGCTAACGAGCCCTCCGCTATTTTGCAGAATTTAAATAATTTGCTGGAGAACTATTTGGAACCCCTTAAACGCGAGACCTTTCTGTCAAACGCGGAGATCAACGCGCTGTTTGGTAATATTCAGGAGATCGTCACGTTTCAACGACAGTTCCTGCAGAATCTCGAACACTCCATCGAGTTGGAGGCCGACTTTAACAACTTTGATCATCCGAGTCAATTTAAGGTGCGCAATTCCGAATTTTCACAACTGTCAGTGTTCCTTTCTCTGAATTTTTCAAAATATAAAAAGATAACACTTTAATAATTTAGATAATATCGCAGAAATTCCTACAACAATGCTGGATTCGCTGAATTTGAATGTCGATTTTTCTGGCTTTTACAGGGAGTCCTGTTTTCCATTGGAAGTGCCTTCTTATATTACGTAAATCACTTCAAGCTATACAGCTCGTTTTGCGCCAGTCACTCAAAGGCTCAGAAAGTTTTACATCCAAGTAAGTTCCCTCTTAAAGTCTCCCGTGGCTTTTTCGCCAGAGGCGACCTTCGCTTCCTTTGTTCGCGTCAACATCGCCTGATCCTTCGTGCGATCGATAATTCATTCGCTAGGAATAACTGTTCAACCTCTCGGTTACTCTCTATAAATATGCCGTTCCCGGAAAGTTCTCCGATTTATTATTCATGTCAACCTTCCGCGAGTGGGTGACATTTTTACGGCTGCGAATAGAAGTTAGCGCCATTAAGTATTTAACGAAATTACTCGACTATTTCCCAAAGTAGATTTGTTGTTTCTCGAAAGTTTACCGCGTTTTCTTGAACTTTGGTATTAAAGCGACATTAAAATTATACTCATTCTTCTAAAAATGCAATATGCGCTTGGCGTTAAATTTAACGCAACTCTCTTACATATTATTCACTACGTTCGTCGCAAACATTAATTTATAACATCCGAGAAGCGCCGATCTTAATTTTAACAACAAACTAAGACAATTTCTTTCTTTTGTCCTCGCGTTTTTTTTTATAATTACGACAAACTGGACGAATAGAGCAATCTCCCAATAATTGACAATTTCAGACGAGGGAAATCAAGCTTTACAAGAGTTCCTGCAAGCGAGAAATCCCCGGCAGCAACACTCGTCGACTTTAGAATCGTACTTGATAAAACCTATACAAAGAATACTGAAATATCCGCTGCTGCTGCAGCAGCTTAGGAACCTCACCGATGAACGAAGCGAAGAACACCAACACTTAATCGGTAATTACCGCTGCTGTAACGATCAGCTCGGGGCGTCGTTAGACGCGCTTAATCGCGACCGTGTAAATTGCAGAGGCGCTCAAAGGCATGGAGAAGGTGGCGGAGCACATAAACGAGATGCAGAGAATTCACGAAGAGTACGGTGCTATTTTCGACCACTTGTTCAGGCAACACCAAAAATCCTGCAAGCAGGTGAGACGCCTGTCACCGGAAGAAAATATTGCGTATTACTTATTTATTCGCTTAAAAGTTAGAAAAAATTGATAACAATTCCATTTATATTCGATAAATGATGATGCTTTGTATTTCAAACTGAGAGAAAAATGAGAAAAATTATATTTATAATTTTCTTGCGCGTGATTATATATTTTTTAAGAATTAGAATCATCGCTAAAATATTTTCGATTAACACACGAATTTCTCGGCAGCCGATCGATTTAAGTCCAGGCGATCTTTTGTACTACGGCGGTGTCGAGTGGCTCAATATTTCCGATTTCCTCGGCAAGATAAAGAAAGGTCTCGAGCTGCACGCGATGTGCTTTGTGTTTAAATCGGCCGTCGTGTTCCTGTGCAAGGAAAGATTGAGACAGAAAAAGAAGCTTATGGTAAGCAAGTCAAGCTTTTTCTAAATCGATTGTCACGTTCGTCGAGTCATTTTCGGGATAAAACCGTCGCGTGCATCTTTCAGGGAGTTTCGACGAAAGCGAACTCCAGCGAGGTCGAAATCATTCGTTATCAAGTGCTGATTCCGGTGACGGAAGTCCAGGTCAGAGCCAGCTCCGCCAAAGATATGGAATCTCACTTCCTGTGGGAACTGATTCATCTAAGAAGTCAATTACAGAGGAGATCGGAGAAAGTATACGTGCTCTCCAACAGGTATTTCCCAATTTATTATCTCGATTAATTAATTAACTGCTGTAGATATTTAGATTAAAACAAACATATTCGAACAAATTCTTCCAAATGTGTTATCAGTTTATTGACGCACCGCTAAATTTCGATAAAATATTGTTTAATAATTTTTTTTGGCAATGTATTATAGTTGAAGTGAAGATGGATATAACACGGTAAAATAAATTGACTTTCATTCGTAGCAATTAATTGCTGCGATCGCACCAGATTGCAATCGTACGGCTAATATAATCTGCCCGCCGTTATTGATCGAGCGCGAAAATTGACAATAAATATTAGGAAATTGAAAATAAATTGCGGAGGAATCAGATTACGTTTCATTTAACTAGTGGCCGTATTTTAATCCAATTTTATCAATCTTTGCAAATCAATGCTACATTATTTTCCATTTCTGCAAATATTTTAAATCCTTTCTCAGATATTCAGTACAATATTTCAAATAGTTCAGTAACGATTGTTCGTGAATATTTTTGACAAAATAAATTAATCAACAACTTTGTCGCTATACGCACGTCGCCTTACATTTCTGCTTGCAGTACGACAGAATTTCGAAACGCGTTCCTGAAAACGATCCGGCAGATCATCCGCGAATCGGTGAGGAACATGAGCATACCTTCGACAAAGCAGAATTTAAGCCAAGCACCGATGTCGATGGCGCCGCGCATGTCGACCGGACACGTCGAGAAGTTCGACAAGCAGCAAATTATTCAGGCTCAAAACGGAAACGTGACGCTGTCGAAGAAAGCGATGAAGCAGCAACTGCTGGCGAGCTCGCACAAGCGCAAATACAGCCAGTCGAAGCAGCCGGTGGAGCATGAGAGCTCGGAGGACAAGGACCAGGAGGACGCGCCAGTCGCCCCGCAGCAGACTACATTTCGCTCCAGAAGCAAAACCATAAGCGACACTTCCGGTAAGCTCCCGCTCAGCTGACAGCAATTTTAGTCCACTTTCTCCGATAAAATCTCTTTTACGAACGATAACTTTCATACGCAAACTAATTTCATAAGTTTATCTTCAATCAATTAACTTGATAAAAGTAACAAAAGTACGAGATAACGTCACGATTCGATTGCCAAACTGCTTCCTACAATTTTGTTATCTCATTGGGTTGCTCAGGCGAGGTAAAAGTTGAAATGGACTCAGGCACAAAGTCGGAAGGTGAAGAAGACTCGCAGGCTTTTTTAGGCGAGAAGAAGACGAATCTCGGCCGGACACCTAATCATCTGACGTTAAGCACCACATCGACCATCTCGGCGGGAAGCACTGGCAGCCAGGCTAGATTGATCCAGTCTTCCCATCAACCCGAGAACTATCAGCCGATTACCGTCAAGGAACTTGGTGAGTGTATTGATTATCGACAGTTTTATATCTGATGGGCACACAATAAAAGCTTTAGATACTCACATTGATTATAACTTAAAAACTGTTTCAACAACCGACCGTGAATACAACAATGCGATAACGATACTTCAGATACAAGTAGTCCTTTTCAATAGCATTGTTAACAATTAACATTGAAAAGTTGCGAAAAATACGCCCAATGAGATTTTTGTCCAAAACAAATCTGCTCCAAATTGCACTTCTGCATCAGCCATATTTTGGATGCTAATGATAGAAAAATTTATTGTATTTATAGATTTTGCGCGCACAAGCAAGAATGTATAAGATTTATTTTTTTTTTGTCTTCTTAAAAAAGAAAACGCATGCGACAAAGCGCTAATGTATCGCGATGTCCCGGGCAGGTTCGCCGATCTGGAAACCACGGGAGCTACCCTCCCTGGGGGAGGCAACCACGTTGCCGCGCAAGGGTAAGTCCGCCGGCGAGTTCGCGGACATGAGCTCGAGCCACAGCGCCTCCCGAAAGTCTCTGATAGAAATCAACAATTGTGCTCAACAACCTAACTTTAATAATCACGTTTAAGTTGAATAATATCGAGGCTGACTCGCTAACGAGAGATAATATCGTTAAGTTCCACACCATCGCCATTCAAACACAACCAGACACCATCATCCACCACCAAGCGTAAATACACAGAGATAATTGTCCGATTGATAATCCGATTAAATGCGATACCAAGAGGCGCGAGAGAGACGCGCGTCCGCCGCCCACGCGGAAATTCGCGAAGGCTGCACTTTCTCCCTCCGCTCTCTTCCTCGTTTCGTCTTCCAGCAGGTGTCGCGCTGTGTCTGTGGCGTGCGTGCGTGCGTGCGTGCGTGCATGCGTGCGTGCGTACGTGTGTGCTTGTGTGAGAGCCAGCGAAATACTCGATCGGACCTTCCACTTCGTTCCGGAAAATCCGAAAATCCTTTTTCTTCCGTGAATAAACTTATATTTTCTTGACGATAGGTGCATATATATTCGAACAGTTAGAAGAAGAATACCACTTAAAATTAAGATAAGGAACATCATCGCAGACTTATGGTTGATAATTTCCATTTTGACAATCGTAACGCGGATAATCGCGAAGAAGTGAAAGGCCGAAGCGATGCCAAGCAGATCGCTGGCTCCGCGACGAATAGTTTAATTGGCGAATCGCTGATGAATAGTGTCGATCGTTGTGTCGACAGCGGAAGACTCATCGGGACGATCGAGACATCCGTTAACAAGTACCGGCAAGCTCGCTTGTTTCAAACGCACATTCTACGCTTCCTTTCCTCTCTCGGTTAATTAAGTTTAAATACGGATATAAGAAAGCGCAGTCGGATGCACTTATTAGCTCGAATAATTGAATTTTTTATCTACCATTTGCGATTTGAGTGCAATTTTAAATACTTTTCGTAACAAACTTTCAAATGTACATCTCAAACTGAATGAAACGTGAATTATTCAAATAAGTATACGGTGTCCATTTACATCCTCAAAGTTTAATTTGAAGTATTAAGGAATACCACTTATTTCAAATTGACCAAAGAAACTCTCATAAAAAAACAAATCATAAAAAAAAAAAACAATTAGACGAAATAGATTAATTAACGCTGGCGATGCGATGACAATGTTTGGAAGCTCGTTTTAAGAAAGATGCGACAAATTATTGTCGAAATAATTTTTTCTTTGATTCCGTCGAATAGTGATATAAATTTGACGTCGATCGATTTACGGAACGCGTTACGTTTTTATTTTCGAGAGTCGACTTCCGCGTGGATGGCGGCGCGAAATCTTCACAGATAATCGACTCTGTATATAATGTAATAATGATATTATCGTCACTATTTGATTACCGCCGATCGCGAACGAGCGCTCGCGCGTAGCGCGCTCCTCACATTATTTCTCATCGTTCTATACGCTCCCCCCAATTTTTTAATTATATTATATAAAATCGTCGGGATGCCGCACATCACGCCATTGATGATGACGTCGGATGACGCGAGGGCAACTCGACAGAGACGAAGACTTAGGACCTGCAAAAAAAAAAAGAAAAAAATGAATCGAAGGAGCGATTCGGCGCGTAGCGAGTAAGTTTTAGCGATTAAAGAGAAATCAATTAAGATGAAACGTCATATATACAGAAAATATATGTATACATACTATACATATAGGATATTATGTGAGAGAGAGAGAGAGAGAGAGAGAGAGAGAGAGAAGAAAGAAGAAGAGAGAGAGAAGAGAGAGAGAGAGAGGAGGAGGTAGTT